TTCTACATTGTTTTTAACTATTCCTAAACATATAACATTACAAATTTTGTATTAAAAATGTAACTTTAGGTAGGAAAATTGATTTTTTTTCGAGCCAAAATGGCCAAAATTTCGGCATTTTAACTATTTTTGATAGTTTTCATACTTTAAATATAGTTAAGACTTACTAAAAACAATGTAAAAACATTTGTATTTGGTTACGCGATTATTAAAGATATTATTGACATCAAATTAGATTGCTAATAGTATGCCTGAAAATTGGAGCAGCGGAAGGGCACAATTAAGAGGAACCTCGGTGGGAGAGCGGGGTTTGAGGACGGATCGGGAATTTGCATACGGGCTGGGGGACATGGGGAAGGTGATAAATGGAAGGGCATATGGGGAGAACGGGGACTCTTCTTCTAGCCTCGCAGCACAGATCCCTCCTTAGATACCGGATCCAGAGCATGAGCTATGTGGAGGGGAACGCGATCATATGCAGGTAAAATTAGCCATTCGAAACCACGTGGAGACGTGCAGAGCGGCTAACGGATTTCGATTTCGGATTTCGGATTCCAGTAAAAATAGAACCTTTTGCAGCTAGCAATAAACACGAAAACTACGGTGAAAAACTTCAAAAGATAATCACAAAAAAGTACCAGGATGGAATTTTTTCTTTTGAACTCAAAAGATGCGCAATTTTCCGTAGAACCTGTTAATCGATTTTGTCTTTCGATGTTTCTATGCAACTTTCGAGATAATCGTCATCTTTAGCAAAATTGGGGGATTTTCGGTTTGGTGAGTACAAATTACACCGTCTGTGGACAGTTCCGTGTGGATAGGAGCGCCGCGTACCGATTTTCCTATCCATGGCTTTTGAATGAAAAAATGAAAATAAAAATAGCCGTCGATACTGTTGGATTGTTGCATTGTTTCCGGGGATGGGCACGGACCCTCCAGTGTCCCTCTAGTCCTCTAGTCTGGAGGTCTCCATTCAGACCGTTCAAGTGCCCCAAAACCGGTGTCTGCCCCCTCCCCATTCACCAACAACGAACCCACCATTACCCGCTACCCGGTTAGGTGGGCTAATCCGGTAAATGGATGGCGAACGGCTGACAGGAGGCTGAGCTTACGCCGGGCGTTCTCGACTTTCCGTTACGTCTACGTCAATAGTAAGAAATACGGTTTTGGACTGTTAGCAGGGGGGGCACGTTCTTTTTTTTTTTTTTTTTTTGTTTTAGGTTTTTGATTGTCAGAAAGTTGTAAAAAATTTTTTTAATTTTTGAAATTCGAACTTTGGGCTTTTTTACTTATTTTTCATTTTTGTAGCGCCGTAGAGCATCACAGGCAAAAATGTGTTCCCCCCGCTAACGATCCAGAACCAGAAATACTAGAAAAATTGGGGGTAGTAAAAAAGCAGAAAATGTCATTGGCCGGTTGGAGGGCCCGACAGGGGGCCATTGCTGCGTCTAATGAATGTCAGACGGACCCCCATCCACACCGAATAGCCTGCCCTATAAAGCGCCACCAGAAGCTTTTCTCTACTAAAACATCCGAATGAAAAAACAATCGGTAGGATATTATTTGCCATCATAACGTCGAAATTCAGAATGCCGCAATTTCATAACGTCGAAATTCAGAATGCCGACAATTTTTTTGCCTAGGATTCGGGGATTTACCGAGAATATTAGCTTATATAAATTTCGACATTATGGATCTCGAAAATTGGAAAATAAGCCGTAGGATATATGTTTGAGTGAAACGAAACGTGGTGGGGATATGTTGTGGGCACGGGTTGAGGGTGGAGAATGCGAACAAAAACAGAAACATCTGGCCGCCGGGGTTGCTGTCTAGGAGTCCTCCTACACCCAACTCTGCCACCATCAAAACGCAAAAACGATTCGATGAGGAGGGACCGCGGGGGCACATATCCCCCTCAACCCCCCTTCCGGCCACGCGGCTCGAAGGTGTAAAGTTTTGGGTTAGACGGCCGAATATCTTTGTTCAAAGTTGTCAAAAAATTCTATTTTGTAGCAGCTACGGGACCGTTGCAAAACAACTCTACAGCATGCCAACAAACCACTCCCAAAATTAGCGGCAATAAGGCCCTAAACAACGCGGCACTCCTATCGACTCAAAAATGTTGTCGAGGCGTAAACTTCTGAGCCCTATAAATTTAAAATTAAAGCAAATCTTGAAAAAAACTTGTTCCAACTGTATAGAATGAAACACGGCGATTCTCATGATCATTAAGAAAACTGAATTCAAGTACCAAAACCAAAGCTGTTTTTGTTAGCGAGTTAGTGAAAAGTGGTATTTCGGAGGGCTAACTTGCTCTCTTTGGTATCATTCGAACCGTAAAATTCTACTCTGCTATAATTGATATTACGTTTTTAACCTTATATCAATTTAAGAAAGTTACAAAAGCTTAAACTTTTTGGCGCGCGCTACGCCCGGCTCCTATGGACGCTTTTGCCCCGTTTTTGGCCTGTTTGATTGGCCGTGAAACACACAACTCCGGTCATCAAAGTGTAGAGTGGGCAATGCGCACAGCTGGGGGCTTGAGCAGCGTCAATCGCATTGGACCCAAATAAACGGAGCGAAAACTGCGATCAGAATGTCTGGCCTTAGGCGGGCCGGAAACTATACATAAGCCCAAAAAATGGCTACAACGGCAAATCGCCGTGACGGAAGGCCGTAACCAATAAACAAATACTAAAAGGGTTGGGGGAAGGCTGAACGGGGTGATGGTGGCTGGGGGTGAACCCACTTTTAGTCCGGGGGATATGGGTGAGGGGGAGAGTAATTATGCACGCGCACGCGCTGAAGTGCCGCCGGGGGAGGGGGGGGCACCAACCAGAAGCAAGAGAATGAGGAGGAGGACAAACCGGGGGTTGCTGCTTCACCGAGTTAGGGTAAGTGGAACCGATCGGTAAATGATGGTTTTAGCGATTAATAGTGGAATCTGGATTGTTCTAAAAATCTTTTTTGAAATCTCGGCTACGGTATACTTTACCCCCCCGCCCGAGGGTCCCAAAGTCTTCGATATTTCCGCTACTTTGTCGGCATTTTTTGACGCCAATCGACAGAACTTCGAAAACTCAAATAACTGTTTTTATGACAGCTCAAAATATTGTAATACTGACTAGTTATAGCAAAACAAAAATAACCTCTAAAATGGGGTTAAAAGAACAGTTTTCGATATTTTCGCTATTTTCGACATTTCGATATACCATTCGATAGAGCATTGAAAATTATACTCAGCGTTTTAATTTTAACCAAAAATAATGTAGTATAAAATAATTACAGCAAAAACAAGATTCCGTCTCGGTTTCCCTATAGGAACAGGAGGTGCAAAGCTAGTTTTCGACATTTTCGACATTTTTACAAAATAACCTTTCGATAGAGCGTCAAAAATATACGTAGCTTTTTAATTGCAACCGGAAATAATGTAAAATAAATCAGTTATGGCAAAAACAAGGAAAATCTGATAAACGCTCAAACACTATTTTAATTGTATAATTTAAATATAAGCACGGTATTGATGCCTTCTATTTTTCTGGTGCTCAATGTAGTCGTGTGACAGTGAGATAGAAGAAGATGGCCGACGAGAGTCAAAGGCCAGATGGTGTGCCGGAAGCGGGGCGAGAATGGGGCCTAATCAGCAGAGAAAGGGCCCCCCGGATATCCCTCTACAAACACTCGACTCCACGGCCAGGAAGTGCATCACCCGATACACTATATATGGAGAGGTATTTTAACAAACTGTACTGTTCTATTTTGAGGGGGACGGAAATTGCGGTAAGCTATTTATCATATTTTTGCTATAGTTATTTTGTAATACGTTATTCTGAGTTGTAATTAAAACTCTTTGTATATTTTCTGACGCTCTAGCGAATGACGTTCAAGAAATTTTGTAAAAATATCGAAAATGTCGAAAACTAGCTTCTGGAAACCGCGTTTAAATCTTGTTTTCGCTATAACTATTTTATATCAAGCTTTTTTGAGATGAAATTAAAATTCCAAGTATAGTTTTTGATGCCCTATCGAATCGTGTCTTCAAAATAGTCTAATAATAATTCAAAATAGTCCCCCAGTTTCAAAATTGATTTTTGTGTTCGGTCTAACTTTTTTTTGTATTAAAATCTTTTGAGCTAAAACAAAAACTCGTCAGACATTTTTGATGCTCTATCGAATGGCATTGCAAAAATCCCCAGAAAATAGTAAAAATATCGAAGTTCTGTCCAAGAAAGTTGAAATAGAACCTTAAATACACTTTACTAAATGTACCTAAATGAATTGTATACGTGTACGACTGAGAATTGAATGGTTATACGTTATTCGACAGGCGTATCAGCCTGCGGCCAATGATAAAATTCCAGGATAAACTTTATTCAAAACTCTAACCGGAGCTTTCCAGGGTACAAGGTATTCAGCATCAGAAGTAGGATGATTAGGGTAGAATATCAGACAGGGTACTAGTGAGAGAAAGGGGGGGGGGGAGGCAATGCACAGGGTCTCAAAAAAAACTCAAAGGGTCTCAGAGCTATATTCATCACAATCATTTGATAGCACAAAGAGGAGGTGGCCAACGACCAACGGGAGGGAGAGAGAGAGGTTACATTCTAAAGAGAATGCCATCCAGGCCCCTGCCAGTGAGTAAAACAATTGATGTCGTAGGCGATTGACAAAATGTGAAGCTCCGGGCGGGGAGAAAACACGAAAAGATCTATCTATTAAAAGATGCCAATCAATCAATCGTTTTAATGGCATCAATTATAGAGGATCATTTCGGGTTTTGTAAAGCAAATTTTAGAGTGGGTGAAAGGCTAGGCAATGAGAAGAGGTGAAGACGAGCTGCAAGGCAAAGACAGCCGCTCACAATGTACATACATAGTTCTCACGCCAAATAGATAATTGAATCAGAATTTATAGAACGTTTTGTATGAGACATAGACCCTTATTGTACTCAAACGAGAGCGATGTTACGAGTGGTTGGGGAGGCGGACGACCGCATTTTACTTCGACGTTGCTGAGGGATCGTTGTTCTCTCGCCGTCGGACGCGCACTGAAATGGAAAAAGAATGAAGGAGATATAGGGAGCCAAGAATTTCGGCACGAGCTTATACAGGGTTTTCAAAAAAAGATCCCGTTCTAGCGGGCCGCCGCGGTCATTCCCGATTTTTACGATTTAGGTATCTATCGAAAGCCCTCGACGAGCTAAGAAGATGTTCTCTCCGATCTGTTTAATTCCCGAATTTTTAACCCGTTTTTCATCGTTCTTTGTACCTAAATTGCGCAATTTTCTGCAAAAAAAAATCAATTCAATCGGTTTCAGTCCCATCCAAGCTGTGTTTTCTCAAATGGCTTTCAAAAAGCTGACCTTGTGCCGTCAGGAAAGATGTAAAAATTTGGAAAATTGGGTTTTGTTAGAAGTATGGTAAAAACTCGAAAATTCAGCGACTTTCGCAAAAATGTTGGTGAATGTGGTAAAAATTCGGGAATTTAAAAAATCGGAGAGAACATATCTCCACAGCTCGTTGAGAGCTTTCGATAAAAACCTAAATCGTAAAAATCGGACCCGACTGCGCGTTAGAGGGGGTGTTTTTTTGGGACACCCTGTACAAGATTTACCGCCCATTTATCCGAAAGGGCTCACATCGTTCATAATTCCTCTCGAGTGCTTCTGAGACACGATGCCTGGCTTCCATTGACTGGAACGCAACACCGACTCGGAGCAGGCTCTCGTTCTCTTCGATCGTCATCATCATGTCCATTTCAATTTGGATGCCCAATACGCCTTGTCTCTGAAAAAATGTTAGCTATATTGGATTATCTTTATGTACGTCACTTAGTAAGACTTGGCTAAGAATTAATCTCGTTCTAGCGATATTCAACGTTTTTCGAAAAAAACATATTTTTTCGAGGAATTTCGCAATTAGCATGCCGATCTTGCATAAATCAGCAGTTTACATGGTTTTTGTACGTAAAATTCGCGAACAAAAATACATAATAAAGAAAATGAGGGGGGGTACTTCTTTGGGATACGTCAAGGTAAGCCGCATAAGATGTTTGGGTAAACTTGCTTCACAAAAAATCGCTAGGCTTCATACCTGATTCTCGGCGTGGAATTCGATGACGGATTGCGTCTTCAGCGTTGCTTTCAGAAGCCTAGCCAGCATTTCCGGGGTAATGAAATTCGATTCGACGTTGAGCACCTTGAGTGACGGCGAGTTTTCGAGCATCTTCTCTATGCACTAAAACGAAAGATGGTGTCCATGATTGGTAAAGCAAAATACCCGAGCCTCCGTATCGGCAATAGCAGTGTTTGACAGGCTGAGGCTTTCGATGTGTTTTGAATTGCTAGCAGCGTCAATCAATTGTCGAATTTTCTCCTTCGATACCTGAATTTATCCTGTAAGTGCTAGACAACAAGGGGGATCAGATTCGGCGGTACCGTTCTATTTAGAGGGGGGACAAATTTGGAATTTTTTACGATAAATCTTTTATTTTATCTTACCCGGGCTAAAATTAAAACTCGTAGTATATTTTTTCGCGCTCTATCGAATGGCGTTGAATAAACCCTGTGAAAATGACGAAAATGCCGAAAATAGCGTTACCCTCCAGATTCCTAGGTGGAAACGACGTTAAAATCTCGAAAATTCCGGAAACTAAAGTCTTAACCCCATTGTCATAGGCGATTTCTTATTTTGCTATAACTTGTAATTACATTATTTTGAGCTATAATTAAAGCTATCAGTGAATTTTTCGATGCACTATCAAATGGATTCACGAAAACCCGGAAAAACTAGCGAAAAAATCGAAAACGCCCCCGGCCAAATAGAACAGTACCGATTCGGCAAGGGGTACAAGTAGGATAAGCGGGGGATTTTAGGCGGGGGAAACCAACTTTTTCCTGGTTGGCCCTGGTGGGGATAGTAATCAAATATAAAGTGTTTTCACATTGTTTTTAGCAAAATTTAAGCCTATTTGAATCCGAAAATTTTTTTAAAAAGTTAGAAAAACGCTTGAAAAAGTGGAAAATTTGGTCATTTTTGGGCCGAAAAAAGTGATTTTGAGACCTAAAATTAAATTTTTTAATTAAGTTTTGTAAAGTTTTTATGTTTAGGAATAGCTATAAACAATTTAGAAACACTTCCATTATTTATATAAAAAAATAGGCTTGAGCGGAAAAAAGTTGGTTTCCCCCGCCTAAAATTTTCCCCCCCGCTTATCCTACTTGTACCCGGCAAGGCTGAAAAAAGAGAACTGCCTCACCCGTTTCATATTATTGATGTTAACAGTCTTCAATGAGCTGTCGTTATCGTGTAGGCGACTAAAGTAATAAAACCGAGTTAATCAGTCAACAGAACCAAACCTAATGCATTCGTCAACGTTGGTTTCATTTTCAGGTTCATCTGGGTAGACCTTTGGCTGGTATGAGGGAATAGGGATGCTAAAAGGGATAATTGACAGAGATAATACTGGCCGAACCTGAATGTTGTCCCTGAATTTTCATCCTGTCCTTTCCCTTTGAGGGCATTGTAGAATTGGGGCTGGTTGAGCACCGAGTGCATGCCTGGAGCGATATTTAAAGATCAAAGTGCAAAATTTACCAAGAATCCCCGCCAAATCGACCAGATCATTTTCCGGGGCCTTTTTGAGCGCTCTCTCGATGACAATCTGGAAAAAGGTATCGGTGAATGGAAAAAGCTGTGCAATACCTCCTCATCCTCGACGCTCAATTCGTCGTCATCTGGTGTGGCTAGATCGAACTCAATTGGCATCTAAATTTTGCGCATTGCGATGGCAAGAAATATCTCACCTCCATCCCGATACCCTTCGACGCCCCAGCATTCTCATCAACGAATTGTGTTCCTGAAAAGCAATTCTGACAAGATTCGAAAATTACCTCGAACAACACCCTTTTGATAAGGGACAGTTTCATCCCAATCTTTTTCATTTTTTGCTGTATCTTCCAGGAATTGCATCAGGCGCTCACGCTGGAAGTTGAATATATTACACCAAAAGACATTAAATATACCTTGTAGGGGCCAGTTGGAACCTTGCTGGTTTGTTCTTGGCATCTTTGAGAGGGTGGAAGCATCGAATTCTGAAAATTCTTTCTTCTAACTGTTTTAGGTGATCTTGGAATTTTGCGACGTGACATAGCTCATGCGCTAGAGCTCCAAATTCGGAACAAGTCCCAGCTTTCAAAAACTGCTGAACGACAACGCCTTCGAGAAGCAGTTTTTCAAAGTTCGCATTTTGCTAAGCGGGGTCCAAAAATGCTCAAAATCGGCCCTTTCCGAGCGAATTTTCTCTAAAACCGTAGTTGTTCAACGGTTTTTGAAGGATGGGATCTATTCAGAATTTCATCGCCAAATTGCAAAAGGGGATTCAGCACGGGGATTTCTTATCCTAGTCAAACGCTCGTCAAATTCGAACGTTAACCGTTACTCGCCTAAAATAAGCACTTTCGTAAACAGACACCCCTTGCCCACCGGTGACCGCTGGTTCTATTTTTTGAGGAAGAGACCCTAACACCCCTAACCGCAAGATTAAATTAAGCGTATGCGCGCAAAAAATGCGTCCCGGTTAACCCGTAAAAACGTACATCAGGATCAAAATCGTTGTTCAAATCCTCCAATTCGGCGGCGCTCAGCTTTGACAACATTCCCTCGATATCGCCGTCGTCGACGTCCTAAAATGTGTATATTAGGAACGCAAAACACCGTATAATTCAGAAACGACACGGTGAATTAACTGCGTAAGCCACCACAATAATCTCCGTAATCCACTGTACCACTACAAACGTTAACGTGTTTGGCAAAACACTCGCAATGAAAAATGTTTTGGGGACTCGGACTACAAGCGATTTCCTGATTAGGAGCCTACTAAACAAAAGCTGAACATCGCATCAAAAAACCAAGGTGTTTTACTGACGAGTAACACACAAAACACGACAGTACCGAGAAAAACGCGTCGTCTATCGAACCAGCGCCCTGAATATTGGGTCTTTTCAAATCAGTTAAATCAAGAAAATTTGGGTATGTCTACATTACGGGGGCTACAAATGTAATATTTAGCTCACCAAGCGTGTATAAGATTGGATCGATTCGCTATAAACATAGATATTACGGTATTAAGTCAAGTTTTCAACTTAAATTGCATGGGCAAAGATAACTAATCCTAAAAAAATGCGAAAGAAAGTGATGTAGGGCCCTTGGTCGGCCTTTCACGTTGCAGACAAATCCATTCTCAAGAGGGCTAGCCCCGACGAGTGACGTCAAATAACGCCTAGCTAACCGCTTGGGTCAGGGTTTGCAGAAGTCATGGCACCCAAAAACCCCTCTAGCGATCCGCAGTGATGTCGGATTTTTACGATGAAGGTATCTATCGAAAGCTCTCGACGAGCTGAGGAGATATGTTCTCTCCGATTTGTGAAATTCCCGAATTGCTAAACAGTTTTTCATCGTTTTTGGGAATAATTTGCGCAATCTTGTGCAAAAACTCAATTCAATCGGCTTCAGTCCCATCCAAGCTGTGTTTTCTCAAATGGCTTTCAAAAAGCCGACCTTGGGCTACCAGGAAAGATCTAAAAATTTGGAAAACGGGTTTTTTAAAAACACTTGCATGCGAAAAGTATCGAAAATTTAAACAATTTCGCAAAAATGTTAATAAACGGTATAAAAATTCGGGAATTTCAAAAATCGGAAAGAACATATCTTCTCAGCTGGTCGAGAGCTTTCGATACATACCTAAATCGTAAAAATCTGACATCACCGCGGACCGCTTGGGGGGTGTTTTTGGGAAACCTTGTATTAGAATTCCGGCATAATGGGAAGCGTAAATAGCTGCGTAGAAATACTGTATTTACCTTTTGTTGCCTCATTTGACAAAATGAAAGGAATGTTTGCGGGTTAGCAGGGAAGGGATGAGGACGAATTTGATAAAAAGCAAGAGGGAGTGGCGAGCTTTGGCGTCGGGAGGCCAAGCGGCACATTTTACGAGTTCATATGGGGGATCCTAGAAAAGGTGCCATCATCTGGCCACTGGCCCTACGAACAACCCGATGCCCCCAGATCGCGTATGCTGGGGACTGCTGCATTTAGCCGCAGGAATTTAAGGGAAATTAATGGATTTAAAAGAGTTAAATAATGGCTATGAAAGGGTTAAAATTAATGGATAACCTTATAGGAATTGATTATGGTTCTGGACTGTTAGCAGGGGGTAATTTTTAGCGGGCGGACCACTCTTTGTTTTTCCATCGACCTGTTGATGATATATTATGCATTTTAATAGTGTGTTAGTAGTTTCTCATTGCTAGGAAGTTATACAAGGTATTTTTAAATGTTGAAAATTCGGAATTTCGATCGTTTTTCCGATTTTTCATACATTTGGAAAATTGTGCTTTTAATCTAAATCAATGCTTTAAAAAGTGTTCATATTTTTTTATAGGGCCGTAGAGAAACACAGCGAAAGAATTGGTCCCCCTGCTAAAAATCCCCCCCCGCTAACAGTCCAGAACCCTTACTTACGACTGCATAAACTGGGGTTTGGGCTTATTACAGCACGGAGGGGCAAGGTAACAAACGAGTAATGGGCATCTACAAGTAGGAGAATTGCCAAGAAACCCACCTTTAGACCCTTGCCATAAATCTTGTTCGTAGGTCCGGTGGTGCCCGTCTGCGTCCGCGACCCGGGGGCCGCAAACGTTTGCTCTTCCGCATAGTAACTGAAAATGTAAAATAAATTCTCGTCATCTGGTGTTTTCTGGAACTCTACGGCCTCTACAAAGTACAGGGTGGTCCAAAAAAACACCCCTCCGGCATTGGCCGTATTACATCCGAACGGCCCCAAAATTGGAGCAGAGGTGTTTTAGACCCTAAATAACCACAATCCGGAGTTATAGCCGGATTGCTATAGTGGTTCTTGAGTTATACCCGAAATACTGTTTTCCATGCGATTTTTAACAGTTTTTCGGCTATATTTTTGGACTATGCATCGATTTCCGGCCCGGAATCCCTCATTTCGCTTATGGTCCGGGTTCATTTTTGCGTGTAAAAAACGTTTAAATCAGCGCGTATTTAGTTAAATTTTTGTCAGGAAAAAATTTCTAAGGGTAAAGAAGCCTTCCCGCAGAATTTTCACTTGATATTCTAAGGGTCGACTGCGACGAAAACCCATTGGAAAACGCATTCTAAAGGTTATTTTTGTTGTATCTCGAAAATTACTGTAGGTGCCGGGCTATAACCCAGGATTGTGGTTATTTAGGGTCAGCTACACCTTTTTTCCTAGTTTGGGTCTCGAGCGGATGTAATAGGGCCAAATGCCGGAAGGGTGCTTTTTGCTTTTTTGGGACACCCTGTATACCGCGTCTAATTTCTGATTAGTTTTCGCGTTTTCCCTTCCCCCTCCCCGCCCGAAAACAGTGGGGGCCATCGATTAATGTGATTGGGCCGTCCGGGGAGTGACGCTATCACGTGCAGAGCATGAGCTTCGAGGAGGACCCAGACAGTGCCCTGCCTCGGCATACCCCCAAGAACGAGGAGGAGCACGAGAAGCCCGAGATCCAATAGGATTGGACACTTGAAGAGAGTCAACCTCTACCCGAGGCAGCTGGTTGGTCCTTTCCCGAAAGCCGAGCTCCGACTCCTCAACAGAAATAAACTCGGACAACAAGCCGGAGGGGGTGGGGGGTATTTAGGACGCCCCCACCGGCCAGTTGCCCGTTGCCTCGGGTTCGTATGGGGGGTTCCGGCGAGGTTTCTCTCGCTTGCGAATTGCGTAAGGAAATGAGAATGAGCATGAAGTACCCTATCCCGAGTATAGTTCCGGTACAAGTTAGCGACGTACCAATACAAATGACGCTCTAACAACGTGCGCCCCTTCCTCTCGCCGCAAACGCTATGTAAGCAAAAAGAAGCGGTTCTCAGGAATTCCTGCATCAATTTTCGTTAAACCACTCAAAATGCTGGAAATAGTGGAAATGTGAGCCAATCTTCGATAAAAATTGCAAGATACCCCTCGGGATCGAGTTAGTTGCAAGAAACCGAAAAACGAAGCACACCTAGTTACGGGCATACGTAATTAATGACGCTACGTACGTTTCACGAGGAATTATGCTCGGGATTTTAGGGTAGTCGGCAAAAATTTATCAATGTAAAACCAGGTTAAATGAAACATTTAGATAATGTCCAATTTTTAGTAGTCGAAAATCTGCGAACATCCCCATACACTTACTTATGGCGCGCACCAACCATCCTCCTTTTGCTAAGCATAGTCTCAGAAGCCAGCCGCCAATTCTGGGGGTGGTTGTGAATCGATGCTTCTCCCGGGCCTCCGTATTTGTTAGAAACGCGTCTTACTGCCTTCGCCCTGGCCACGCCCCCAAGAAGCATTTCCCAAATTTTTCCCAAAGGAATCGCTGGGCGTTATGATGAGCGGGAGCACCCCAAAAACCATCTAACATGTTGTGAGATTCACAGGTGCTAATGCACTCCGAAATCGGTAGTAGGGGCTACGAGGTGCTCCGCTTAGGCAATTTGGTTTTCAGCTTAAACCCAGGCTTAACTTAGCTTTCACTATGCTTAGCTTATGCTTAGGCTTAAGCTTAAGCCCAAGCTAGACTTATCTTGAGCTTTAAATTGCCTCACGAGGTCAAAATGGGGTCATTTAGGAGTGAGCTTAGGCTTCGTTTGTATCAAGCTAAGCCTAGGCCCAAGCTTAGCTGCGCTTTTCAGGGGCTTCGACTTTAAAAAACGGCATTTGGAGCGTCTTGTAGTCAAAATCCGGCTCAAGGGAAAAGAGCATAACGGGAATATCAACCACCCCTAGCTCTACGATGGAGAGCCCGACAAAATTTATGAAACGGGCAAACAGTTCCGGCGCGGCAACGCAAACACGCATTCCAGGCCGCCTGGGGACAATAATTCGAGCGGGGAGATGCGATGTAAAGATTTGGGAACAGATCCTAGAGCGATTCGTCATTTCCACGTAGCTAAATGCACCGAGAGGAATGGGAAGTACAAAGGAGAAAAAGTTTTTTAAATGGTAAAATTGACGTCGGCTGGCTGCCACGCTAATCAAGAAAGGTTCCTAAGTAACCGTTCGATCATTAATGGCAGACCCCGCGTAAAATGATTATTTCTCAAAAACGGAGGGTCTGTGGCAAAAACGGATTGCAGATTCGGAATCAGCGTAAAAAACTGGCCTAGAACTAGGGTCTCACATTAATCGATCGTACTTTCATTTCGGAACGGTCCCTTGCTACTTCCAGATTCCCCGAAATATTGTCAAAATTTGAAAATGACTTACAAATCTGCCATACAGTCTCCAACGGAAATTGAGGCGAGTCGTCCAGGGTCCTGATGTAGCGCGGGGCTGAATTATGCAAAAACGGGCCGCGTCTTTCTATAGCGCGGGGGTTGAATGGTGCGACTCGCCGTTTCGGGGCGGCTCTTCTCTACCCTCCAAAAGCCGGGCGACAAGCAAGTGGCGGCCTGGGCGGTGTGCGATCGATGGCGATCAACGCCCGCGGCAACTCCCCTGCCGCGTGCGACGGTCGGGGGGCCATCCGGCTGCTGGACATGTGCCAGGCGACAGCTGCCACATCCATAGAGGGGATTCCGGTAAGACACCCGCGGTAAATTGTACTTCTTGGGGAGGTCATGGAAACTCTGTTAACCGCCCGGAAAAGTCGGCTCTTTTAAGCTCTTTTAGCTTTTTAAGCCCTTTTTAAGCGATCAATCCTCGTGACCAAACGAATCGGTCCTTTAGGATTCGCGGGATTTTTTTCGGTGCAATCCGAAAATTTTTTTATAAATAGCTGATGCGCTTCTAAATTGTTTTTAGCTATTCCTAAGCTTCAACGATACCAAATTTCAATTAAAAATTTAATTTTAGGAAGAAAAATGGATTTTTTCGATCGAAATGACCAAATTTTCGACTTTTTCAAACCTGTCCCCCACTTTTTGAAAGTTTTCTACCTTAAATATAGTTAAAATTTACTAAAAACAATGTAAAACACTTTATATTTGATTCCTGGGCCAACCGGGAGCGCTAGGAAAAAATTGGTCCCATCCTGCGAATCCTAACGAACCAACGAATCTCAATGGGCCCGTTCTAAAAACCCAAATTCGATCAATACACATCGTCTTTTCACAAGGTTCCGCGAAATTATTTTGATGACACGCAAAATAAACATGTAAACCCCGATTCCCGAACGAACAGCTGTTGCATTCCTAGCGACCTGACACACCAAATTCCGATTTACCGGATTGTCCTTTTTACGCATGACCGCTGAGCTTTGGTGTCAACACAAAACAACGGGTCTATGTCAGTTGTCGTTTTTAGCTGTCAGTTTAAAAACAACAAATCAGCACCGACGCCTGCTAAACTAGCAATCGATAAACCAATGTTCTCTGACTGTAAAGTGTTTTTACTCAGGCTGGCTTTTTAGAATGGGACCAAGCCTATCTTGTCCAGAATTTTTCGCTGATTCCGAATCTGATTTCCAAATTTGCTGCCGACCATTATTTAAAAAGTTATTCGACATTTATACTAAAAAAAATGACTAAATCTGGATTTTTTGCGTTATTTTTTAAGTTGTCGTCACCTCCGACGTTAAAACTGGCTCGGTAACAGTTTTAGAGGTCAAAGCGCGATTTTAGGCAAAAAATCCGTTGTCTTTGTGCAAAAAGCAAAAGAAATTGTGCAGGGCGGGGTTCGAACCGCCGCCCTGTGCTTGGCAAGCGAACAGCTTACCAATGCACCATGGGGCCAACTGGGAAGGGGGCTTCGGGAGGGTAGATAAGGGGCACAGCACTACCTGGACCCAGGCAGGGAATAGTGGGCCAGCATCCGAATTTATGCCGTTTTTAAGCTTAATTTAGACCCCAAATGACTTTTCAACGCGAAGTCCGCAGCAAATTTGGAAAACGGATTCGGAATCAGCAAAAACTTCTGAACAAGTTAGGCTTGGTCCCATCCTAAAACGCCAGCCTGAGTAAAAACACTTTACAGTGAGTTCGTTCTCCGATTGTTTACCGGGACGTTTGATCGGTTAAAGACAACCATCCTAGGTTCATCACGATCACCATCCATTCTAACGATGAGGCAGCCACCCCCTGACATAAGTCTGCTATTCTAACGCTGGCACTGAGGTAGTGGATGGGGTCTTGCAAGATCGAAAACAGATGTCGCATGGATATGAAGCCTCGCTAGCCAGGCCTTGCGCCCTAAGTTTGGAGCCGGAAGGGCTAAAGGAGCAGCAGCCGGTCGCAATGATAGGGGTTACGTTAGCTCATCGTTGATTTGGCGCCCTATATAACAAAGCTCGTAATACCGAAATCCGTTCTACCGAAATCCCATAGTACCGAAATCCATAATACCGAAAATTAGCTATATTTCGACCTGAAAACTATTTACAAAACTTTGAAAAGTGCTTCGAAATTTCTAACGGTTTTTCGGTATTTTGAATTTTGATGTATTGAGAGTCGGCATTTTGTGAGTCGGCGTTTGTTATGGATTTCAGCATACTGAAAAAAGACCCTCAACTTTCAGTACCAACTCCAGCAGAATAGTACTAGCAAATTGCGATTATTATTACAAAAGATTCCCCCTGTGAAATGCAAAGTCACAGAAATGAATTCAGGAAAGAATCCCCCGAGCAATCCTTACAGTGGACATCTGGGCAATCGATCATATGTTCCTGCACACACTCCTAACGTGTCACAACAATAATACAGGGTGTCCCACAAAAAAAAATAACCCCCCACGTATAGCAGTCCGGAGAAAGCTCGGATCGGGATGATTTTTGCACCATTCGAAAGCCTTTGAAACGACGATAAAACACGCATTTTTCGTTTGATAAAACTTTTTAGCCTGCGCTCGACATTCAACGACTTCTTCAAGAAAGCGTAAATTCAGCTTTGTCGTGTCGGCTTTAGCAATAATTTGACAAAATCTTCACTTTTCATGGATTTTGGTCCTAAATTTAGCGAATTAAATGCGGATATTGAAAAACGAAAAGCGCTTGTTTTCTTGCCATTCCGAGAGCTTTCGATAGATATCGAAATCGTCCAAATCGGCCTTCATTGCGGCCCGCTCGATTTTTTTGGGACACCCTGTACAGCAAGACTCACTCGATTCCCTTCGAAATCGGGCTGAGCGGGCCAATCGGTGAAAATTCCGCTTCTCGTGGACGAGCCGAAGCATACATCTAAATAAAAAATAATTGGAACTAACAACCAGTAGCAAAGAGGAAACCGACATTCTGATAATCGGATCAAAGCGTATGATGGGTGATAGGCCACCGCCATTACACTGTTTTACTTCCTCAGACAATAGGAACGCGCTTGCTTCGAGAAAAAGTGAGGGGTTTCGCAAAGCAAAGAAGTCGGACCGGATCAGGTTTCGGGTTCGGTTTGACTGAGCAGCCCTGAATCGAGCGCTTGACGGACGTGAAAATCCATAGCTGCAGAAGATAAAGATATTTTTTTATAATCCGCGGATGCGTTTCTACATAGTTTTTTAACTATTAGCATAAAAACTTTACAAATTTTAATTTCAGGGCAAAAAATTGATGTTTTCGACCCAAAATGACCAAATTGTCGACTTCTTTCAAGCATTTTTCTAACGTCTTAGAAAGTTTTCCACTTTAAATATAGCTAAAACTTACTAAAAATGATGTAAAAACGCTTTATATTTGATTACTAGACCAACCGAGATCACTGGGAAAAAAAATGGGAGCTAAGCTCCAAGCCAAGCCGGACCTAAGCCTATCCTAAGCCAAGCCTAGGCTTAAGCCCCACCTCAGCTAAGTCTAGGCTACGTCTAAGCTCGCCTAGCCTAAGCCAAGACAACACGAAGCATAAGCTAAACCAAAACCAGTTTGTGCCTACGCCAACGCCAAGCTTAAGCCTAAGCTGAGCCGAAGCCCAGCCTAAAAAAAGTTAAAAGTGAAAGGCTGGCCATCCGGAAAACATTTCCGCCTGGAATAAAATGAAGGCATAGTGAATCTAAAAGCCAATTTCCAAAAATTGTAGGCAGGATTGACCCAAAGGAGCGGACGAGCCCGACTTTTCCTTCCCTTCCCTTCGTTACCCGACAGCCCCTTTCCCCTCCCCTCTTCTCACAAGAAAGACCAAAAGAGCCAAGAAGCGGCGAAATGAATCTTCCAGTGGTCAGCTGCCACTTGGGCCGTCAGATCGAAGACACCGTGACGAGCGCTTAAAACAAGCGCGTCTTGACGAATAGTTCCGTGGTCGCATTACGTCTAGAACAGGAAGTGCGTTTCTGCAGCCGATATATATCAGAGGTTTTAAGATTCAATTGACAATTGTTCAAGGTAAGTGCGCAACCATTTATTCGAATAAAAATATGCAGCATTTTTTCACTTGAGGGTTTGGATTATTGGATGTGGTTGAAGATCATTTCGGCTGATGGCGGCGGGTCGGGAGGGTTAGGCTCCTCTTGCTTCGCGTTGTCCTCCTGAAAACAAAATAAGAAAGATCGAGGGTGAAAACTCACGATAGGTTCGGCCGTCAAAAAATCAGCAGGAAGTCGACGCGGATATCCCTAAACGTTTGTCGAAATTGTGCGAATCACTAACCATATTTTTCTTTGGAGCGGCGGCATTGCTTTTCTCGGACGAGCCACTTGATGTATTATTGGAAGGCGCGGCCTTCTGTTATCGAATAATTAACTTGGTTCTTTAGGATTCAGGGGGAACCAACTCTTTTAATTAAAAAATTAATTTTAGGTAGAAAACAATAATTTTTTCGACCCAAAATGACCAAATCCTTGGTTTTCAAACATTTTCCTAACTTTTTTTGAAAGTTTTCCTACTTTAAATGTAGCTAAAACTTGCTAAAAACAGTGTAAAAACACTTTGTATTTGATTACTAGACCGAACGGGACGGCCAGGAAAAAGTTGGTTCCCTACGCGAATCCTAAAGAACCATTAATTTGCATAAAATACCTTTTTGTCTCGGTCTTCCGCGTCGCCGGTCTTTGCCTCGATCGATCGGATAGTTTGTGGGGTTTGGGCCACAGGCGTCTATGAGAGAAAATAAAATCAGAACCGAAACGTAGTATTTTACCTTAGCCTCCGGATGACAGTCAGCGGCCCCATACATCCTCAACAGATCAGCCTGCGTAATCACACGACCATCGTCTTGAGCGAACATGTAACCCACTGAAAAGCAATTTTACATTAATGAGAATGAATCCTTACATTTTCCGCCTTCGAGCTGTGCCTTCAAACCGACGGCACCGACGACTTTGACCAGAGGCTGCCGCAGAATCAAATCCAAAACATTGTCCTGGAAGAAGGAAACTACACAAAACGCCGGTTCATACCTTTGTTTTTAGCGACTGGACGACACGCTGAAGAAGGGATGGATCCATCGTTCTCTCGATGCTAAATACAAGTGAGGCGAAAAATCTGTGCTAATGCGGTAGGGGGGCAGTCCGAAATTGGTAGTAAGGGGTTACGAGGCGCACCGCTTAAGCTAATTGGTTTTCAGCTTAAGCCGAGGCTTAACTTTAACTATGCCTAGCTTAGGCTTAGGCTTGAGCCCAAGCTAAGCTTATCTTGAGCTTTAAATTGCCTTACGATGTCAAAATGGGGCCCTTTAGGGCTTAGCTTAGAGCTAAGCTTAGCTTGGCTAAAACTAAGGTAAGACTCCAGATAACCCCCCCAGCCGGCACCCAACTTTTGTATCTCGGCTCCCTGTTTATCTACAGGTGTGTAAAGTATACCAAAATAGTCGCCACAGCAAGACGAACATTTTGGTATACTTTAGACACCTGTAGATGAACAGGGAGCCGAGATACGGTAGGTGGGGGTCGGCTGGGGGGTTATCTGGAGTTTAGCCAAAACTAACAAGGGAACCTCAAGTTGGCACGGTGGAGTTTCGCAAAGCGCTCGCGGCTACCCCTAGGTTTTCGACTATGGCGATTCCAACGCTGTAGTCAGAATTTCCTAAATATGCCTCTGGACAGAGATACAGTACTTCCGGAAAATGATGATTTACATCCGAAAAATTAGCATTAGCGATCGGTTTATGAGGCTCTCCCATCACTATGGAATCACCAGTGGAGTGGCCGAGTGGTAAGCGACTCGCTCGATAGAATACTGACGAGGGTACGGATCCGCTCGCCATTTTTTATTTTGTTTTGTGTTCAGAATTTTCTGCCCAACTCCAAGTTTTGGCTATTTTTTTCGAAAATTAGTTCTCTTTCTAAAATATCTAAAAGTATTAGCAAAGCAATTAGACAAAAAATCTTGTCCGGTCCATCATAGAAACCCATTTCTAAAAAAAACGGAGATGAGAACACCGAGCCGTTCTATAAAAATTTTTCGAATTTTGAGACTACTTTGGAGCAGTCAGGCAGGTTCAGGGGCAATAATCAAAAAGTTTTCCTATATTGAAAATGAAAACTTGGAGTTGGGCAAAAAAATTCTGAACACAAAACAAAATAAAAAATGGCGAGCGGATCCGTACCCTCGTCAGTATTCTATCGAGCGAGTCGCTTACCACTCGGCCACTCCACTGGTGATTCCATAGTGATGGGAGAGCCTCATAAACCGATCGCTAATGCTAATTTTTCGGATGTAAATCATCATTTTCCGGAAGTGCTGTATCTCTGTCCAGAGGCCTATTTAGGAAATTCTGACTACAGCGTTGGAATCGCCATAGTCGAAAACCTAGGGGTAGCCGCGAGCGTTTTTCGAAACTCCACCGTGCCAACTTGAGGTTCCCTTGTAAGCTTAGGCTTCGTTTGTATGAAGCTAAGCCTAGGCTTTGGCGTAGCTTAGCTTTTCCGGCGGCTCCGAGTTTAAAATCGGAATTTGGAGCGACTTGTAGTCAAAATTCGAACTCCCCCCAAGTGCATTCGCTCCGAAAAATCACATAGCTTACCTCTTAACAATAATATCTGGTACCAGACAGACGGCGCACATCAGCGGTATGAAAAAGGCCGTGGATGGCGACGGCAACGAGTAGATTAATCCTGACGAAAATTGATGCAGAATCGAATATTGTAGACGAAACCGAGGTAAGAGGCTCTGTTCGGGGCAAGAACCGGTGCAGAGAAATGGGGGAACACGTAGGAGTCCGAGAGCAGCAACACCAAATAGGCGAGTAGAGAACCGAAGAAGCCGATTGCCGATATCTGAAAATACACAGCACTTGATGCAATTTCAATAAAGCCCACCACCGAAATCGAGCGGCTTTCTATCAACGCCTTGAAGTTGACGATCACCACCAGACACTAAATTAGTCGGTGCTGGGCTGTTGGCGGGGGGGATTTAGCAGGGAAGCCATTTTCTTTTCACCTCAATCTTTTGATGATTATAAGGAATTTTTATAGGGTTTTTAGTAATTTTTGATAGTTAGAAAGTTACAAAATCATTTTTAAAATTTTGAGAATTCGAAAATTCGATTTTGGTATAGGGCCGTAAAGAATCAAAGGGAAAATTTGGTCCCCCCCCGTTAACCGTCCAGAACCAATTATCTTTCTTTTTCTTTCAAAATAGCAAGAATGGATTACCAGATACATGAAGGTGCCGACCATCTGGGTCCAACCGTCTCGCCCATGCGTGAAGGCAGCTGTTGCAAAATTAGTCGGTCGATAATGGTAAAGATTACATGTGCCATATTTCCACCAATAGAGCACCGAGTGGAAGATCAAGAACGCGTGGGCGATTGCGTTCGCAGACCACATCATATGCGACTGAAAAAAGACGGATTTGTCGAAATTTGTCGAAAACACATCCAGAAAAAGTGGAGCTGAAACCGACGCGGATGGAGATATTGTTCTGGAAGAGCGGATATAGGCGTGGATATTTTGCCATCACGTGCAGAGGGGCTGGATTGTCGTGCACACCGAAGCAGCCAACAGTAATGCTGACAACGAGACAAGTTGTGTTTTGAACAAAAAAAAGAAACCTTGTGTAGAACAAATTATAGCGGACCATCGTGTACTCATCGGCCATCCCACTGTCCGAGTGGCCATTGTAGAAGGCATAGGTCACCTAAAAAGAAGGACGTTTTTAATTTCGTTTTAACGACGAAGATAGTTTCAAAATGGGGCCCGCCTATTTTGTGCAGAATTTTTCGTTGTCTAAAACCTCGTTTTCAGAATCTAAGAAATGACCAAAACAAGAAAGTTATGACGTTTTAAAGGGCGAAAAAACGGCAAAAGTTGGCCATTTTGGGCATCTTACGCCCTTTAGAGCGTCATAACTTTCTTATTTCGGTTGTTTCGCAGATTCTAAAAAGTACGTTCTGATCAGCGAAAAATTCTGCACAAAATAGGCTTGGACCGATTTCGAAACTCTGTGGACACTAAACAGCTACGGTATAAATCTCACATTCATGCAAACTTCCACGAGATTCTTGTAGAGCGTATAGAGGACAATCTTGGTGATGCGATGGAAGCAGGAGGCGCCATGGACAAAAAGCAGCCGATCCAAATGACGGAACTGTAGGCAATAGTTTGCAAAAAGCAAATAATCGGCCACCGACCTGGGTGAGGCTAAAGTCCGCAGCCGCACTCGCTTGACCACCTTCAAACCCGGATATTCCGACGCCAACATCGGCCTCCTGAACGCCATATTTCGTTCAACGTTCCAAGGTTCAAAATGTTCATTGAACCCACCTGAATCATCGCCACATCATTAGCACCGTCGCCAATAGCAAGGACGAGCCCATCGACGTTACCGCGGACCAGCCTGGTGACCGCCGCCTAAAGAATTTTTTCGGAACAACTTTTTTTCGCCGCAGGCCTATTTTTTTAGCAAGAGCGGATGCGTTTCTAAATTGTTTTTAGCTATTCCTAAGCATAAAAACTATACAAATTTTGATTGGAAAATTTATTTTTAGGTCGAGAAATTGTTTTTCGAGCAAAAACGGCCACGTTTTCGACTTTTCAAACACTTTTGAATTTTTTTGGAAAGTTTTTCTACTTCAAATAGAATTAAATGTACCTTTTGCAAGGGTGTACAACGACAGCAAATGACGGCCGAACAACAGAGAGCCAAACGGAGGAAGTCCATGCGCATGATCCGAGAGCCAAGCACCCAATCCAGACACTGAAAACTCATTAAGATATCAGGAGTCACTCGGATCTGGAGAAACGCACGTGTGCATCGACAATGAGCGCCATCTGATTGTCACGATGTTCGAGGCACCGGGAGCCCAGTCTGTCCACATATCTGAAAAATGACAATAGAAAAATCGTCCTTTCAACATCTCACTTGTCCAAATGGGCCGCCGTCTCTTCTTCGGTGTTGCAGGCCAAGATCAGGGTTGGGGTTTGCGGGGTCACCAGTGAGCACGAGTATCCTGAGGTAAGCGTGCTCAAAGAGCCAAAAAATGATGCAAACCGATGTTGAGGGCCGTCTCCAACTTGTCTCCGGTCAGTACCCACACTCTGATGTCAGCTTGGAGCATGCGGGCAATGGTCTGCGGCACGCGCTATAAACGAAACCGTTGAAGAACGTCAAGAAAAGCCACTGACGTCTTGCAGCTTATCCTCGATTGCCGATGCGCCAAGGAGAGTGATATCCTAAATATACACCGCATCAGACCAAAAATTACCGTACCCGTTCGATCAATTCAGCAACCTGATCCATCTGGGCTTGCCTGTCGTTGAGATCACAATTTGCGCTTTGCCAGAGTTGGGACCAGCCGCTATATACTTATGGTTACAAAAAAGTGGTGCTAATTCGCTTACGGAGGGAGGGGGCAATCCGAAATTGGTAGCAAGGGGTTACGAGGCGCGGTTTTCAGCTTAAACTTAGGCTTAACTTAGCCTTAACTATGCTTAGCTCAGGCTTCGGCTTAAGCTTAACCTGAAGGTAAGCTTAGCTGAAGCTTTAAATTGCCTTACGAGGTCAAAATGGGGGGCCTCGAGCTAAACTTAGTTTGGGTCAAGCTAAGCTTAGGCTTCATTTTTGTGAGCTAAGTCTCGGCTTAAGCTTGGCTTAGCTTTTCCAGATGCTTAGATTATAAAACCGGGGTTTGGAGCGTCACGTAGTAATTCGGACTGCCCCTCCCAAGTGCATTAGCACCAAAACTGTTTATCCCACGAGTATTCCCGCTCAGTCAGATCGCGGTAGCCATAGCAAAGCGTGCGGTAACCTGTTGTGGGCATGTTAAAAATGAGCGTGCGATGAACTGACCAAGGTTGGCAAATTCCTTGAGATGGCTTTGTGTAGCATGGCGTGTCTTTTGGTTGCTGTCGGATGAGAGCATGGACAGGATTTTGATATCCTTAAATCCGATCGTTCTGCGAAAAAAAAACGAAACAAACCGCGCCCTTCACAAAAAGCCGTATGGTACCCTCCGGGGTCTGGACAATCACAGCCATTCGTTTTCTGGTCGACGAGAATTCGAGCACGGCCAACAATGTGTAGATTTTTGGTTCGCCGTTCTGAAATCAACGCGTAGAAGGACGTGACACGTCCATCACCCTACCACTTCGACGGTTATGGCGTTGGGAGTACGGCCGGTGAAGCAGTATTTGCCGGCGCGGGCAAATCGCACAATAGCAGCTTCGTCTGACACAAAATTCGCTCAACAACACCAATTCAGCCTACCGGGGGAACAAGCATGGTAAGTGGGTTCGCTACTTTTGTGCACGGTTGTCGATCGGAGAGGGCTTTCTCGAGCAGAAGACTCCGCCGACCCTTGGCTCCTATGGCTCTTCATCGGGGTCGCATCTCGCGAAAGCGGCGTCTCGCCCTCTTCCACGAATTCTGCCCTGAAATTTCAGGTTTATATTTTCGCGAAAATAGTACCTTTTTTCTCGCTCAACCACCACTGTATGACAGACTGCGCAAGCTGTCATGAACAGATCAATATCGCCAGCGTTTTCCTAAACAAAGCTAATAACGAGATGTTTTTAGCGTCCACCGAGTAGTCTTTAGTACCAAGGCTATTTTGTGCAGAATTTTTCGCTGATTAAAACCTCGTTTTCAAAACCTGCGAAACGACCAAAACAAGAAAGTTATGACGCGTTACAAAAGTTGGCAATTTTGGACATTTTTCACGCTTTAAAGCTTCATAACTTTCGAAATATGGTAGTTTCGCAGATTTTGAAACGTAGGTTTTGTTCAGCGGAAAATTCTGGACAAAATTGACGTGGTCCCATTCCCAAACACCACGGACACTAAATCTTAGAAGCCGATCCGCTTCCCACCTTTCTGTTTGTCCTCAAATCGGCCAACAACTTGTCCGTGTAAAACTCGTCCGATCCGGAAACACGCTTGCCATATTTCTGACTGAAATCAAATGGTGCAGCGGAGACGATAAAAATACCCTCCGATCGAGCAGAATTTGAAGCGCATCATGTTGGTAGTAAGGGTTCCGGTCTTATCCGACATCACATATTTGATGGCCCCCAAATTCGGGATCATGCCGAATGACTTGACCTAGAGAAAATGCTTGTGAAGCAGGGCCAGAGTTGGAAACCTCTGCTTTCTGATCCTTGCCCTCGTCGTATAATAGAATGTCCTAAATAAACATCAATGAATCGATTTCAGAGTTTTAACCTGCTGAAGGTAGTAGGCTTGACACATCAGACATCCTTCAACGGTCACGTAGAGGGAAATTGGAACGAGATTCGCGTAGAGAATCAGCTCGCCGAGGAACGTCTCGAAGATCGAAACATCGGCTTTTTCCGCTAAACATAAAATTACATGGCAAATCCAAGCTATATGCGTCGATGGCAGCGTCAAAATCTAGCCGGAGCGAAAGGACGTTTTATCAACCGAAAAAAGTTACCAAGCATCTCGCGCAGCCAATCCTTCGACTGAGCCTGAGCCCACAGCGTCAGAATGGCACAGATCACGAGAAGCCATCCGATTTGCGTGACGACCAGCCAGTTTGCGAGTTTGTGAAGGCGAGATCTGGAGTTTGGAAACGGTCGGAAAACGGAAAAAAAAGTTACACTTTAGTGCTCTTCCGGACCGAATTCAGGGCAAGTTTCGTGTTGCGTCCGGCGTAGATGACGACACCCACCATCCAGTCTGTTTGGCGGACCTTCGCGCCGCGGAATACCAGATTTGACAGAGCTAAACGTTATTTAGACCCAGTGAAAAATCACCTACTAAGTGGCACCTCGGAGATATCACTGGCAATCTTTCTGAACGCGGATATTTCGCTGCCCTGACTAAACAGCCTTTTTGAACAGACAAAGAATTCTACGCACTTGTGAACACGAAGTAGGCCATGATTGAGACGGAGCACTCCTTGGAAATAGTCCAATGAGCGTGATGGTCGGTCACATATCACCAGCGATTCGGATTTGATGAACGCCTAAACAGGGTCAGTCATTTGCCCCAAAAGTTACCCGTAGCTTTTCAGCCGAATTGATGTCGTTGGTGTACATAGGGGCTTGACGGATCTTGAGATTTGATTCACCATCCAAGTTTGCTGTCTCGATATAAAGGACACCGCCAGGTTCAGAGGAGCTGAAAAAGGCAGAAAAAGATTTGCTGAGACCATCGGGGAAACAACCTTAGCAGGAGCAAATCAGCCGGTACATTTTCTTCACGCCCAATCCGTACGATGTCGCCTTCCCGTAACTAAATATGACATAAAACACAAATCGTCAAAACAACCGTTTTCCATTTGACCCGAATCCATTCGCCACTTGCATCATCAAACACCTCGGTGAGGCTGTTGTTGACGCGTCGATCGGAGACTCGACGACGCTAGAATGGGCCGTTTGGGATGAAGGAATACCTGGTTCTGGGCTGTTAGCAGGGGGGGGGGGGGTATTTTAGCAAGGGGAAAAACCACTTTTTGTACGTTTTTGTACCACCTGTTGATAATATATTATGTCTTTTTAGTGTTTTTAGTAGTTTTTCATTGCTAGAAAGTTGCAGAAAGTATTTTTTGGCTCAAGTCTAGGAAACCCCCCCCAGCCGACTTTTCAACTTTTCTACCTTCCTTATTTTTATTTTTCGCTACTTTTTCGACTGAACTGCAATGTAGTCTTACTAATTAGCCTACGGCAAACATTTTGGTATACTTTAGAGCTCATTAGCACAAAGGGGGGCCGAGATACAAAAGTTGGTGCCGGCTGGGGGGGGGTTTTCTAGACTCTTACCTATTTTTTAGATTTTGATCTTTTTGGTACATTGTTTATACATTTTTGACCAAAAATTGTCAAAAATATTGTTTATAAATCTAAAAACTATGTAAAATGCTATAAAAATAGTTTATATTTTGCTAGAGCCGTTGAGAATCAAAGCCAAAAATTCGGTTCCCTCCGTTAAACCCCCTTCCCCCCTGCTAACAGTCCAGAACCAAACACCTTACCAAGTCCTCGTACAACTCGGTGAACGCGTTGACAACCAAGATGCTGATCAACGGCGCCCCAGACGAATGCCAAGAGAATGGCGAGATAGGGAAGCACTGCAAAGAAGTCGTTTTGTAGATGTTTGATGCTTTGTAAACTGACCTGCAAAAAAGTCAACATCAGGAAGAAAGCGTTTGACGGCTCGGTCAACTTGGAGAAGAGAAACTTGGGCAAGAAGGTCATCATGTTGTATTTGGTGGTGCGCAGTGAATTTGTCACAGCTAAACGGCTCGGTTCGCTGGCAGGGCTCAACAATCATTACGATGTTCCAAATCCGGGCGACCGATGTTGACTTCATGGCGCTGCCCGACTTCTTCCGCACAGCATTGCTAGCAAATGGTAAGGGTTGAAATTTAAAAGAACTCACAAATTTCGATTTGAAATAGCTAAAAAATGGCATGCTGATCGCGAAGGGCGACCGTATTCGCCGGCAAAGAAGTAAAAAAGGATTTCCGTTTCGAGGCAGGCTAGCGGAGGCCATTCAAAACACTTATTCAAGCGATCCTTTTTAATTTGAAGCCGATTTGCTCCATTTACTACCTACGGACTTCGTTCACAACCGACATTCTTGCGCGTGTATTTGATCAGTGTGCACACGCCCTTCCGCGACGATAATTTATTTTCAAAAAAAAATTATTACACATCAAGTAACACGATAGCACAAGGTTTGGGAGAAGGTGGCCCAGAAAAGGAGAAAAAAAACACTGCACACCTACGTGCCAGAAAATTCACGCAAAAGACTAAAGTTCAGCGAATATCACAAGAAATAAATTACGGGGACATAAAATTCACAGTTATTGAAAAAAGAATGGCGGGGCGAAGGGGGGAGCTTAGAAGTGACCACCATTGTTCTGATTGTAGCCCTGCGGGGGGACAGCACCGGGGTAGGGTTGCTGACCGCCATACGGGGGCATCACAGGGGCACCTCCCGCATAGCCGGGCATCTGTTGCGGCATCCCGCCCATCGGACCATATGTCAGCATCAGGGGCTGCTGATCCACTGAAAAAAAAAAGAATTTAGTTGCAACGTGGAAAATGAAAGGACCAGATTTTACTTTTTACTTTCGCTAGAACTTTTTTATATGACATTGTTTTGGCCTATAATTTAAACTTTTGGTATATTTTTTGTTGCTCTGGCTTAGTCAAAATAGCGGAAATCTCGGAAAATTTTGTGAACGTCCGGCTGGGGGTAAAGTAAAGCCTAGCCAAAAAAAAACCAGAAAACAGAAAAACTGACTCATGCCCCCGCTTTGGGCCTGCTCCTTTGATTCTTCGTTGCGCTCGTTCAATTGCTTCTCCAAGGTTCCAAGGCGTGTCGTCATCTCGCGCATCACTTGAATCATGTAGGGCATCGCAAAGTCCATGATCTTGTGCTTCCAGGCTTCTTCGAGGATGACGTCGGGATGGACGAGATCGTAGCAATGGTACAGGGTCGCCGAGAAGTAGTTGTAAAGTCTGTAAAAAACAAATTAGAATCATATCGAAAATCGGGAGTTTACCTCTCTTCCAGGAAAAAGCTAATCAAATCTTCAGCAATCTCTGGCGATTGAGACTCGGCAGCGTATTCGATGGCATCCTTGTAGAGCTTGTCCTTTTTGCATAGAGCAATGCTTTGCTTCCAGCGGTTATTTCCCTTGAACAAGTAGGCAGAGATGCGACGGAACTCGACCAAATGATGGTTCTCCAAGCACTGGGCCAAAGCAATATTGTCGAAGTTGTTATGAGCGTCGATGGAAGCCCTGAGAGAGGAAGCATCCTCTTCCTCGATGTACATCGCATTCAGCGCCTCATTGAGCGACTTGTTGTTCTGAGCTTGGACATGCTTCAAGTAGGGGCGCACAAATTGTAGGTGATCGAGCTTCTTGAAGAACTGGACGGTCCTCGAGAGGTCAAGCCGTGGTGACAGCACGTTCAGGAGATCATTGAGGAGTAGTGGCTTGTAATCGATGTAGAATTGCATCGCCTTGTAGTAGATTTCCACGTTTGCCACCTTGGCAATAATTTCCTTGAACGTCTGCTCGCGCCACGATTCCGTCGGGTGCTGGATCATCGTCAGAGCCGCATTGTCGTACTCCTCATATTTGTCGTACAGGAAGACGAGCTCGTTCCAAAGATGGGCTTGCTCAGCGGCACGTAACACCTAAATCCAGACGAATATGTGTCGGAAAGTGAGCACTACCTTCGGGATGTTGACGCGTGACCAGAACAGCTCAAGATGCTCACGCATGCGTGCCGGCTTGTATTTCGAGTAGAGGATTGCCAGTTCGGTGAACATTCCCATGTGGGCGCGCTCAAGTCCCAGAGCAGCCTCGAGCAGGGCTAAAAGAGAGAAGGTTGATCAAAATGCGCAATTTTACCAATCAGTTCCTCGAAGAAACCACGATCTTGGTAGTAGTTGTTGAGTTCTTCAAGCTCATCCGCATGGACAACAATTGCCAAGCCGCAAATTTGCGCAAGGCGGAACTCGCCCGCATCTACACAAGCAAAGCAGACCTGTAAGAGGAAAATCATTGCATTTGCAGGAAAAACCGTACCTGCTTCCAAGTCTTGGTGGAATTTGCCTTCCTCGCAGCATCGACCGCTCCTTGGAATTCCTGCAGCTTGACAAGGGTGACGGCGAGCTTAGCAAAGTTCGAGACGTTGGTGAAGAGAATCTTGGCCGCATCGAACATAGCATTGTCGTAACAACGATCACCAATCTAAATGATTGAAAAGCGCATGGTCAAAATACATACCTGCGTGATTTGAGCATGATTGGGGCTCGAGATGAATTCTTCTAGCTCGGCAAGGCGGTTGGTCTTTGCAAGGGCAAAGATGAGCTCCGTATCGATGTATGATTCACGAGACTTCTTGCGAGCCATTTGGAGGTACCGCACCAAATCATCCCATTTTCCTAAAGCCATGAAAAGGCCGGACGTAAAATAATACCGGTCTCCGAACATTTCGCCACAACTTCCATGTAAGTTCCGGGATCGTCCGCCTTGATGAACGAGTCGACAGCTTCCTTCACCAGATTTTGACGAAGTTGCGCCTTTGCCAGGCTTGCCCAAACGTCAGATTGGTTGCATTTCTCGGCAAATTCATAGGCACGGTCCAGATTACCGAGGTTTTCGATCAGCACCTAAACAGAAAAGGCTCTGATCCGAACCTCAAAAAAATTACATTCACGGCCGAACTGTTGACGTCAAACTTCTTGAAGATTGCGAATGCTTCTTCATACAATTCACTCGAGATGGCAATATTAGCGATATCGGGGGCGTCATAATTATCCAATTTTTGGATATATGTCATCACTCGAGATTGGTCGGCCTGCAAAAGATACAATCTTTAGGACAAGGGTAAGCAGACCTTGATTGCGGTCAATATCAGCAAGTTCTGGAGATTGCGGTGCTCCGAGAAAGTAGAGCCGGTAGAGCCGTCCAGAACGATCTTCTCCAGTAGTTCGATCAACTCATTTGGCAGATCCGCAGCCATAAATGCCTTCACGGTGGTGGAGACTTCCTCAGGATCCTGCGTCTCCGCCAGCGCAGTTTGTACCACCTGAAAATAAAAGTTAATACCATCGCATTATGTATACCTGATCAATGAGAGCCCTCTTGTACTCATTTTGCTCGCTCAGGACGATTTCCCAAAGTCCAAAGTCCCGTCGCCTCACCAAATATCTACAAGTAATCGTTTAGCAATCTGAGTGGACGCTTACCGCGCAAGGTTCTTGAACAGCGAGTTCTCGTTGCACACCTTGATCAGCTCGTCGTCGCACCTGCCGCGCTCGTACGCAAGGAAAGCATAGTGCGGATCACGTTTTTCGCAATATTTGCCCACAACTCGCGAATCGTAGTATTGGTTCTCCTTCAAGAAGCGATCCGGGTTCTGATTGGAGTCGATGTAGATCTTAGCCAGGGCGTTATGCGTTGCAGGATCCTTGGCTCCTTCTTGTACACGCGAGTCTAGCCAATGCGTCAGCAACTTCAGCCGGTTGCGCTTTTCGAGCTCTTCCACAAGCAGGTCGATGTCGAATTTCCCGCGAGTGTTGACGATTAATTGCTTGATGGCATCCTCGCTACAATCAACATCGAGCAGTCCACCAACGACCTCCGGCAAACGCGCAGGGTTAACCTAAAAATCATTTTAAAAATGCAAAAACAAGCAGTACCTTTTGCACGAAGACTTCGATGTACTTTTGCAGCTGGTTTCGATAGAGGTAGAGGACCAGGTCGTGGACCATGTTATGGCGATCGCAGACGATAATCAGCGGCAGTTGGTCGGAGAGTTTCGCTTCTTTCAGGAAGTTTTTCACTCGCTCCGGATCGTAAACCTCAGACTCGCGGCAGATGCGTTCAACTTCTTTGATTTGATTCGTTCGTGTAGCCGCCTAAATTTTTTTCAAGGCAATAATGAGAAAACCGACCTGTATGTACTTGAAATGAACTTCGGGGTCTTGCGAAAAGTTGACGATCGCGCCGAGGAAGTAATACAACCCTGAAAATCCAACATTAGATTAAGTAGCCAATTCTTACCTTCGTAGGTCTTGAAAGATTCGAAGAGATCAATGAGTGCAGCCGTGCCAAGTTGCTCGTTATATTTGGAAGCGATCTTGACGACAATCTGGAGGTTTTGACGGATGTTCGTGGAGAGCATGGCCTTCAGACATTCCAGCGAATCCTCGACCGACAACGAGCCGAAGTAGTTGATCAACCACTATAAAAATCAGAATTAGCTGATTAGCTTGCAAATTACATCAGGGTTGAGCAAATGCGTATGGACGACTGTGCGCTTGATGTCGTAGATGTCGGTGAAGTGCTCCAGGGCGCGTTGCAGCAGGCCAGCCTTCTCGCAGAGCTGCCCGATAGAAGCCCGATCGTAGTGGTGGAACATCTAAAAAACACCATAGGACTTTAGAGAGCAAATTTGCCTGATTCGCCAGAATTGCGTCGGCGACCATCGGAGAGTGGATGAGGTTCATTTCCAACAAGCGAGTTTGAAGATTTCCCTCACTTTCTTTGTCGCCTTTCAGGGCCTAAAGCTAAATTGTTGCAAATTTTTGACGAAAAATGTACCTCGAGAAGGAACGCAGTGCATGGTTGAATCGCTTGGACTTCCATGAAACAGTCGACAATTTGATGAACTTCAGCCAAGGGTTCTCCATTGTTCGATTCCGTGACGAGCATCTTGGCGAATGAGGTGGCCTGCTCGGGATTGGATCGGAGCACCTAGAAGTTTGTTGCGGACCAGTGCAGCCGGCATACCTGTCGCAGTTGCAGGAGATAGTCGGGAACGAATCCAACTCTGTTCGAGTACTGGATGATCTTGTCGAATTGTCCAGTCTCCGCAAAACATTGCACAGCCTTATTCGGGATGTTTCCCCTCAGGTAGATGGATAGAGCAAGGGTCACATCGTACGGCTTCACGAGATCTCCTAGCTCCTCCGAGCACTCGAGCTTTTGTGCCTGGAAAGAGATAACATGGACGCTGAGAAATACAGACCTGTAGCCATTTTTGCAACAGTTCCTTCTTGCCCTGCGCAACCACCGGGCGGCACAGCTCCAGCGTCTCATACTTGTTCAGCTTGCCTTGTTCGAGGAGGATGCTGAAGTACTGAAGAAGCGGCGCTTGCTGGCCTGGAGGGGCAGCGATCTAAAGAAGGCGAATTGAATCGATGATGTATATACAAACATGACAAAATCCGAAATATCGTAGAAAAGGCATTCCTGAATTACCTGTTGGAAACGCTGGATCGTCGCAGGGGTTCGCAGGATTCCTTGCGGTGCAGTCGCGGCAATCTTCGCTGCTTCCGAATAATTTCCATTGCCGAAGAGCATGTTGAACTTCCGGACGAAGAGCTCATCAGCACCGGCCAAATCACATCTAAAATAAATTTTTCCCAAAACGGAAAGCAGTCCGTACCGAACAGCGAGCTTCAAGGCCAAGTCTGGGTTCGACATCTGCTGCGTCAGGTAAGGGACCAGGTTGTTCTCGTCAATCGACACGGAAAGCACCTACAGAAAAGATAGAGATGGATATCCGAGTCAATTTCATACCTGTCCCTTCCTGTTGACGCCCATGATACCCTTCGTTTGGGAATATTCGCAGGTTACGAAGATTGTCTCCGTCGAAATGCGGTTCGAATAGATCCGCAGACCAGTCTCCGCATCAAATAGGTGCATGAAGCCGTGCTTGGTGACCATGTAGAGAATACCATGTGCGCCGTTCCCCTAAATACAAGAAATAAAGCATAGAAAATAGACAACTGACCAGGAGACTGACGGGAAAATCAGCGGCCGCATCAGCGTTGTAAGGGACATCGGTCTGCTTCTTGGCAAACGCCTGGTTTCCTTGTGCGGGCGTTCCCACTTCGATGATATGCGCCTTGCCGCCCGTTTCATTGCGCGAAGAGAAGCAGAACAGATTGCTTGGATGCGGGTTGCCTTCGACCTTGAATTGCAGGAAGCATGCAGCATGCCCATCAATCGGCTGCGATACGCGACGCTCGGTGCTGTATAGTTGCAGCTGGCCAGTGATCGCTCCGTCTTTAGCAGCAATCCCAGCGAGGCACAGCCACTTCAGGTCACTCGAAGCGCAGTAGTTGATGATTTGATGGCTATGGAGGTTGGAGTGGCGCTCGAAGACCTTCATCGGAGTCCCTTCGCCTAAAGATACAATTCATGACAAGATTTCGCGCTAACCAACCTTCCAGGCTCCAGTGGTAGACGGAAGTAGCCGTGACAAGAGCGATCGTCTCCTCATTCACCCACTTCCAGTAACTAACTTCCTCGGGCATGGTATGGTTTTTCACGCGAGCCTTGCTTTCAATGTTGAACAACTGGAGAGTGGTCCCCGCTAAATAAAGTTCAATATGTTCTATGATAAAATAAAAAACCTTTTAGAGCCATAATTGGACGATTGGGGTTCATGATGACCGAGTCCGCCTGGATGGGTCGACGCGTCAGATTATTCGGGTCGGCCATGTTGATGATGACGACCTGGTTGCTGTCACCAACCTGAAAAGAAAGTAAAATTCTCTCGCCATTAAAGTACCAATTCGCGGATGACGATGTATTTGTCCGACTCCATGGTCAGGGTGTTAAATGTCACCGCCGTTTGCTTTATGCCCAAGGCTAGCAAGTTCAGATGCTCCTGGAACTTGATCGGGAGCGCCATCTTTTCTGAAAAAAAGAATATTTTGATGCAGATGGATCGGGAACAAAAAAGAGAACATGCGCTACTGAGATTTGCTCGACCCACTTATATATGGCCAAAATCGCATGTTTCCAGGCTGGTTTTTTTGCGCTGATTACGAAAAACATTGTCCCGAATCACGAAAGTGATGTTTTCGTGCAAAAATACACGTTGGTTTCGATTTACCGGGTTAGCGTTTTCCTGCGCAAAAAAACTAGCCAGGCCGCACCGGATTCTGGCCATATATAAGTGCGTCCAGCAAACCCAAGTGCCGTGACAGAACAGTGATTAAAATGATAATATTCTAGGCCTTTCTTCGCCTATTTCTTTCATTGCGAGCAATGTGAAGGGCCCCGGGGGCGATGACGTGGAAGAGAACTAGGCAAACAAGGAAGGATCGATAAATTGAGGTTTGGGAGAATTCAAGGCGGGCGCCCCCCGACATAAATTAAATGCAGAACGATGACTCAGCAAGGATCGATCAACAGCTGGGGAGGATGATAAAGCCTCAGGAGGCGCAGTGCCACTGCGAAACCATGGCGTAAGCAGCGGGGAAAGCGCGCTGCGGTCAGCCGCGCGGCCGCGCGTTATATGGAGAGGCATAGGCAAGAGAAAGCCTCGCAGCGACCAGACAATGGTTGGAGGCAATGAGAAGCTAAGGAATTTGCCGCATCGATGAAAGAAATCGGGACCATGACATCGGAACTAGATATAACAGGAAAAAAATGACAAAGATGTGATGGCTTTTCTTGAAAATCAGATTTTGCGCCGGGTAGGGTAAAAATCTCGATATGTTACCGAAAATAGCCCTCCCGCAAAGTAATTTCTTCTCTGCTAGCCTGTATTTAGGTTAATTGAATTTATTAACACCAGAAACACAAAGAAAATTTTTAATTTTGAAGTTTTTTCAAGTTTTTGACCACGAATTGGCGGCGGAAATGTCGTGCCCAAAAAATCACAAAAAAGCCGGTTCGAGTTACGCTGCGGGCCGCCAGAAAACCTACGGTACTGTAAATGTTGCTACGTGGAAAGGCGTATTCCTTCGTAACATCTATCGTAATCGTAATATCAGGGCCACACCCAATACAGCAAAACAACGAAGGTCCAGGGCGAAGGCCGGCTACGGCATAATTCAAATGACGTAGCATCGTAACGAGTATCATAACGTACCACCTCGTTTGCCAAAAATTTAGCATATAATAAATTCTCAGCAAAATAAAAGTTTTAACGTCTAATTTGTATTTTATCGTTTTCAGCGCACTTTTTTACCCAGGTCCCGAAATTTTGGTGTTACCCGGATGAATTTCAACAAAATTTGCTTTTATCTCGAGAATCTGACCTCATAGGTAATAAACGAGCTCATTTTCAGAATCAGCACAAAAAATAGTCTATGTTGGGTACCCTAGCAGCCCCGGATGTGGCAAAAAAGCACGTAAATCCCCAATGTTGATGCGCGAAAATCGGGCCTTTTTCAGAACGGAAGATTTCATGGATCAAATTGGCCGTTTTTATGCTCAAAAAATCCGCGATAATTTGTTCTCTAAAATAAATCATGAAAAGGTTGATGAAAAACGAGTTTTAAAGAGATTTTTAATTATTTCTAACTTTTACTAGCATTTTTCGCCCCTTCTCGGAGCCCCCAGACCCGACCAAACCCTTTTACCCTAATGCCGTGACCCAATGACCGTAGCCCAGCGCCCTTTTGCCCCACGTAATCGCACCAGAAAATCCGCCCAGCGATAATACGACACAATCCGTTTACGAATTCCGTAATGAGTGTACTTGGACTTCGTTGCAGGTTTAAGTAAGGCTGTAGGGGCTGTGGGGCCCGTACCATAACCTGTTTACTACCCCATTTCCGGCTTACCACCCCTAGTAAACTCTTCACCACCCCGGTAACCAGACTAGTAAACGTCTTTACTCCCCCTAGTAAGTGGAAACTAGGTTGATTGGTGCTGAAACGTTCGAGCAGCCCAAAATTGCACGCCGACCCTTAAAAACAACTCGCGTTGCTCAGAAATGATCCTAGGGTCGATAAGCTTGCGTTTGCGCAGCAAAAATACCTATAGAAAGCTCTCAATCCGGCGTTAAGTCGACTAAAAAAAGTTACTACCCCAGACGAAAAGTTTACCGCACCGGTAACCCGCTCTTACTGCCCAAATGAAAAAGTTTACCACCCCCCTTAAAAAGTTTACTAGGGGCCTAAAATTTTTTTACTAGGGGTGGTTTGCCACTTTTGGTCAACAGGGGGTAGTAAGCGCTATTTTAAAAAGAGTTTAGACTTAAATATCGCAACTTTTTAAAGTTTTTTAAAGCCGTTATTGGGTAGTCCAGTGCCTCAGCTACATACTTCAGTGACGAAGTTGCTCAAGTTTTTGCTCAGTCGCGAGAAAAATGAACGCAAAGTGTTTACCACCCCTGTAAACGAGTATACTCAACTTTTCACGTTGGTAAACTTTATTACTACCCCAACAAATTTTGTGCTTTCGTGAGTCAATTTTCTCAGAAGGGTGGGGATATAGTATAACCCGTAAAATCATTCGGGACTGTAGTAATTGTGTGTAGCCTAAGAATTTAATTATTGATTAGTAGTCAATCAATTTTCGTCGTGAATTCGTCCCGAAAAGGGCAACATTTTTACTTTTCAAACAAGACTTTAGACAACCATTTAGGCCTATCTAGGGAAACTCCCCCCGCCCCCGGCCGGCAATCTTTTTTTTGTTTCTCTTCTTCCTCAATGTCTTTCGAACTGCGACTTGACACCCGATGCGTTTTTCCATGCCCACCGTGGGGTAGTAACCTATGTAGGTAACTAGGTAACTAGGGGGTAGTAACATAGGTTACTACCCCTAGTAAATAGAACTGCCGCTTTAAAAGCGTTTTCACCCCCAAAAGTTAATGATAGGTATATTATAGCCTTCTTAAATGATCGTGGGCTTGACTTTACTGGCGCAAAAGCCTCTTTGGTTGACTAGAAAGCCATATAAGTTCGACCTAGTAAACTTTTTGCCAGGGGTCGTGAATGCGTTCACTACCCCTAGTAAGAAGTTCACCTGTGGTGGTAAGAAGTTTACTAGGGGTAGTAAACTTTAGGTTTTTACTAGGGGTGGTGAACAGTTATGGTACCAGCCCAGCACACTAATGTGAGGTTTACAACAAAATGCCGGCTTGTCTTTTTAGAAGGTTTCTACGCAAAACGTCTTCCTATCAAAATGTCTACAACTTCCTAAACTTCTAAATTATCACAAAGTTGAGTTAAGGTACTTGCAGGGGATCCAGTTGGAGAGGCGCTGGTCTAGTGAATGATTAGTTGCGGAAAAATGTTGACCGCCATGTATAAACACAGCAGCAGGAATCCACGCAATTGTTTATTTTATTATGCGCCTGCAATCGTCTGCGACAGATACCCGCGTGTGGAAATAGCGTTACTAACTGGCATAGATGATCAGAAATGCATAGGGGCGGTTAATTTTATGTTTAGATGTCAATTTCAAACGTCTGGATCCAAAAAACAGTGTTTTTAAGATCACCTCGTTGGCTTTAAAAATCGCTCTGCATCTTCTCTGGACGACGAGTAATTTCAGTTCGATAGATCTGGTCGGTTCTAAGGAGTTGTCTAATGCCTTGTGACGGGGTGATCGACCGGATCACGGGTCTGTTCAACGAAAGTGCACCCGTATTGCCGCTTGCCCAGCAAATCTGGATCTGGATTTCTGGGAAGGGGCTGACAATGCGCTTTTTAAAACGCCTGTAAAATCTTTTCGGGTTTAAAAGGAGACGTTTTTGACTGTCGTCGTCCTGGCTTCGGGACAGGGCCGGTGCAGAATTTTGCGCTGATTCTTAATATGATTACCGGAAGAGCCAATTATCGAAAGTTATAAATTTTTTAAGCCTAAAAACCCCACAAATCGGCCACTCTATATGACATAGAGGGCTTCGGAATGGGTTTTAGAAACAAACCAGCTAGTGTATCTTGTTCAGAGAAAAAAATTCTCTATAACATGTACCATTTCAATCAAATTTCGAAAAATTGAAAAAATTTTTATACATTTTTACGAATCGGCCCCTAATTTTCTCAATTTTCAAAGTTTTAGATGTTTGAGTGAAGTTACTTATTGTATAGAAAATGTTGTTCCGAATAAGATGCACTAGCTGCGTTTTTCTAAAACCTATTCCGAAGCTTTTTATTTCCAACAAAAGTGGCTCATTAGTGGCTATGTCTGCCTTAAATCGCCCACCCCAAAGTCCGGACGATACTCAAAAACGTCTCCTTGTTAGGATGGTTTGCGTCAGAAGTACTTTTGTCACCAGCATAAAATATGCTCAATGACAGAATTTTAACCCAAGAATGGGGTGGACGAGTTTCGGCAATTACGTTTGCCATTGTTCATCACCAACTACGCTTTTTATAAATAAGCAGACCGACGGGCGGGCGGAACCGGAGAAAAAGCAAAGGTCAATGCGGACACGAAGAAGGCTCTCATTCTACGACCTACCAGCACACCCACAGTTCCACAGGCCGAGAAAATGGGGTTCTCGGTACGGATATTCATCGTTGGATTGCTGTCCACATGTGCTTCACTGCTACTCGTTGCGACCGTCTCCTTGAATGATCTCTATCTGGCAATCCAGGGAATGGATCAAGAGCTATTTGTGGAGATGTCGGCCCTAAAGGTGTGGCTTTATTGGGTTCTGGACTGTTAGCGGGGGGGGGGTTAGCAGAGGGGGAAATCAACTTGCTGTTTTTCCACCTATATTATGTATTTATATAGTGTATTTTTTAGTAGTTTTGCTAAAAAGTTATAAAAACCGTTTTTTTTAATTTTGAAAATTCGAAAATTTTGACCTTTTTTGGTCATTTTTCATACATTTTTCACCAAAAAGTCAAATTTTCGAACATGTCTATTATTTTTTTGGTTGTTTTTATATCTAAAAACTATGTAAAATGCTCTAAAAGTGGTTTATATTTTGTTATAAGGCCGTAGAGAATTTTGGTCCCCCCGCTAACAGCCCAGAACCATTTTATTTGTTTTCCGGTCATTTCCGGAAAGCTCAAAGCACCTCCAGGTAAGTTTCAGTAGAAATGGATTCCAGGATCTTGCCGATCGTGCCTGGTTGGAAGTACGAGATCTGAGAGTGCAGAGTAAGGGCGCCTCTTCATCCGCTTCTTTCGATGGCCAAGGGTCGCACGTCGGTCATTCGTTTGCGCGCTACGTTTTCGGCCGTGCAAAGCGTGAAGCAGGCCATACAAAGTGCACCTGTGTGGAGTCTTCGAACAAGTACGTAGGTGTCCTGTGGCTCAAATTTTTGAATTTGCAATGTTCACAGAAACTTTACGCCCGCTAGCTGCAGAAGTTTTCGAGTTATTGCAAAAATAAACTTTATTTTACGTCTTTAAGCGGGATTTCGCCGGAATTGAGCCTCGGAAAGTATGGTGAAAATGCAGCGCCGAGCCTTTTACTATAGAAAATTTTTTATTTTGCGAAATTCGGCTTAGAAATAGGCTATTTACGTAATTCTGACAAGGTATTATCAACCATTTTAAAGCACGATCTTTCACATTTCAGATGCCCCGCTGGGAAACCGGGAGTTCCAGGGGTTCCTGGAGCACCAGGCCAAAATGGACAGCCCGGAAAACCCGGGCGGGCCGGAAGACCTGGATTGGTGATTGTGGATAGCGAGGGAGGATGCTATATTTGCCCACCGGGACCTTTGGGCCCTGAAGGAGCACCAGGTCGTCCCGGGTCTACGGTGAGAAATGACGATTAGGTGCACCAGGACCTTTTAGGGCCCACCGGGTCTTACCGGATCTCCAGGTGAACACGGACGACAGGGTGAACCGGGATATCAGGGACCCGTTGGATCGATCGGGGAGTCGGGCTCACCAGGCACGATGGGTCCGCCCGGTCGACCTGGCCGGGATGTCGTTATCGGTCTGTGTTATGTATTGCTACGTAGCCTCCGTAATTCCGTGTAGCCGTAAATAGGTGTGCTTCGTTTTTCGGTTCTTGCAAATAACTACTCACAAAATTTTTCTGAAGATTTGCTCATATTTCGACTATTTCCAGCATTCGGAGTGGCTTAACGAAAGAAATTGATGTAGGAATTCCTAACAACCGCTTCTTTTCGCTTAGGTAGCTTCTGCGGCGAGAGGGCGGTGACGCACATTATTAGGGCGTCATTTGTATTGCCATGTCGCCAAAATGTACCGGAACTAGACTCGGGATTTTAGGGTAATTACCCAAATTTTTGCATAATTTTCCTCCATCGTAACCATTTCAGCAAGAGGATCCAAGGGACCGCCAGGCGTTCGTGGCCTTCGTGGGTCTGTTGGTGATGCAGGACAACCAGGCGAGCCAGCACCGCCTGGGCCACAAGGGCCTCCTGGTGAGCAGGGAGGCCCAGGGCCACGTGGTCAACCCGGCTATGATGGGGGCCCCGGCTTGGATGGTGTGGATGGTGGACCCGGAGAAGATGCCGACTATTGCCCTTGTCCTGATCCGTAAGTGGGAAGACTACAAAGAGCACAGATTACAGTGGGACACCTACCGTGCCTCCTCGTCCCTCTCGTCCGCCTACTGTGCGAAGCCATACCGCCTCCAAAACCTTGCCGAAAGACCGCCAACAGGTTCGTGGTCTGCTTTATGCCCCTAAGCCCTAAGCCAAAGCCACCCTAATCCACGCAATCCCATTCCCTAATCAAAAGGCACTGATAGGGCAATCGGTACGCGGAGCTCCCATGCACACGGAACTGTACACGGACGGTGTAATTCGTACTATCTAAGCGGAAAATCCCCCAATTTTGCTGAAAATGACGGTTAACTCGAAATTTTCATAGAAACATTGAAAAATAAAATCGAGGGTTCTTTAGGATTTCCGGGGAAGTATTTCCGGGGGAAACCAAATTTTTTCCTGGTTTTCCCGGTTGACCTAGTAATGAAATATAAAGTGTTTTCACATTGTTTTTAGTAAATTTTAACTATATTTAAAGTAGAAAAACCTTTCAAAAAAGTTAGAAAAATGTTTGAAAAAGTCGAAAATTTAGTCATTTTGGGTCTTTCCCCCGCTAATCCTAAAAGTTCTATAGGATTTTTCGACCTAAAATTAAATTTTTTAATTAAAATGTGGGTAGTTTTTATGCTCAGGACTAGTTAAAAACCATTTAGAAACGCATCCGCTATTTAGAAAAAAATTTAGGCTCGGGCCGAAAAAATTTGGTTTCCCACGCGATCGATTAATCCATCGTGACTTGCAAAACTAATATGCTGCTCTTCCAGATCGGTCGCCTCACACCATCGGTAACGCTGAGCAGCCAGGAAGCGCCGTGGATTCGTAAGATCAAGGTGAATTTGGAGTGACCGGCTTTTGATGACGCCAGTTTACAGCGTGTCTCAAAAAGCGCCCTCGTCACTCAACAACAAAAAGCGGAAGGGGTGATCAGGCGAAGCAGGAGTCAAGCCAGGACACCTGGACAACAGCAGCCCGATCATTCTGCCGTCATTGTAAACCAACATAAGACAACAAATAGCACCAAAACCCAAGCATAAATCGTTTATTCTACAAAAAAAACGAAAGACTTTAGAAAGCTTTTTGCTGTTGATAAAGTTTAATTCGGAAGGTTCTGACGACATCGAGGTCATTTCTGACGAATCGGCGGCGGCGCTTCCGGGCTGGCAGAACTCGAGTCCTGAAAAGCGAAAGATTGCTTTTAGCTTTTTTGTTTGTATTACCGTAGATTGCTCCTCGCTGCCCTGGCTCAAACGCTTGTTACTAAAATCCTTTTTTCCGGGACAATCCATGTGATAACCTGTGAGTGATGACGGCAAGGGCGTCATCGATTGATGGATAGAAATCCGACAATTTTCCCATCGCGCCCCTTTTCAGGAGCAATTTACGGGTAGAAGCTGTAATGACAATTTCGGATTTGGTTTAGGAAAGCATACTCTTGGCGCCGCAGATGTAGTAGATAATGTCACGTCCCCGCAGTTCATCGAGAACCTCAAGGAGTACAGGGTGTTACAAAAACAAGACACGCAATCGTGTCCGATTTTTACGATTGAGGTATCTATCGAAAGCTCTCGAGGAGGTACGGAGATCTCTTCTCTCCGATTTTTAAATTCCCGAATTTTTATAACATTTACCAACATTTTTTCGCAATTGCCTGCATTTTCGATGCTTTTTCCCATGCAGTTTTTAAGAAAAAAAACCCATTTTCCAAATTTTTAGATTTTTTCCTGGCAGCCTGAGGTCGGCTTTTTGAAAGGAATTTGAGAAAACCCTGTTGGGATGGGATTGAAGCCGATTAAATTGAGCTGTTGCAGAAAATTGTGTAAATTATGCCCAAAACCATGAAAATCGGGTTATAATTTCGGGAATTTTAAAAATAAGAGAGTACTGATCGAAGGCTTTCGATAGATACCTAAATCGTAAAAATCGGACATCACTGCGGACCGCTAGAGGGGGTCTTATTTTCGGAAACACTGTAGACACAATTAGTCATAGCTTTTTTGTTTCGAGACAAGAAATTATGCAGCGTAATCTAACGTCTTTAACTACCTCCGTGAGGATATCCAATCCCATATGATCAACGGCCGTCACGCGCGAAAGGTCGAGCAGCAGAAAACGGAAAAAAGATTTCCGGTCCGGCGAAGTCGGTTCATTCTGAAGGGAGGTCAGTTATGAATCAGTGCATTGGGTCTTTACCAAGGCGGCTTCCCATTCAGCCACCGCAATCGTCGCTTGTTGCTTGCATCTAAAAGGATTCTTACGTTCTGATCGAGGTGATCCGATCTACCTTTCAGCGTTGAGGAATAAAATGGGCCCGTCGAAGCGCAGGATGCGAATTGCCGGGCTTGTTCCTGGGAACGTCAACTTTTCCCACGACAACCTAAAAGGTTTTCTAAATGGTTTTTAATATTTCTAAACGTAAAAACTTTACAATAAAATTACAAAAAACAACAATTACAAAAAATATCGATGTTTCGGCCCAAAATGGCCGATTTTTTTACCAAAATTTCCACTTTTCGACTTTTTAAAAACCTTTTAGGTAATTTTTCTAGTTGAAATATAGTTATACATTACTAAAAACACTGCTAAAACACTTTCTTGAACTGATTAAGCATCCCCCCCGATAATGCATAAGAACCTCGGAAATAATTCTGACCATTGAATGCGGAAGATGACGGTGACGAGGCTGATCACCACGGAAATCACAAGCCCCGGCATGACATCAATTGCAACCGTCGCCACAAAACACACCACCCACACGAACTAAACAGATACTGATATATTTAATCGTTTCAAACACCATCACCGCGTCGATCTTGCTGTACTGATAAAGATTTCGGAGCGTTTCGCCGCATTTCACGAACATCCCTTGAAGCGCCACAGTAATCACCGTAGCCAGGATCCACTGAATAACGTTTTTTTGTGACTATACGGGGTGTCCGAAACCCCTCAAGCCGGCCGCAGACATGTCCGATTTTTACGATTCAGATATCTATCGAAAGCTCTCGGAAAGGCGAGTCCAGTGCGTTTCTTCGACTTTCAAAATTTTGCCAGGTTTCTAACATTTACTGATATTTTTGCGAAACGGGCGGATTTTCAGGGGTTTTTACAAAAATCACATTTTAAGGATTTTGAAGCATTTCCTGGGGGCCCAGCGACAGCTTTTTGAAAGCCGTTTGCCAACGACAACTTGGATGGGGCTTAAACTGGTCAAATCCAGTCTTCGTCAAAAAATCGTATCATTTTTGCATGAAAAATACTGAAATCGAGCAAAAAATTGACGTGACTTTCGAAAATCCGAGAGACGTGCTTTCCGAGAGCTTTCGATAGATATCTAAATCGTAAAAATCGGACAAGTCAGCGGGCCGGCTAGGGGGATTTTTCCGACAGCCTGTAATCCGGAAAAACCTCGTCGTACTGTGGATACATACAGGGACGTAGCGTAATACAGGCCCCGGGGGCCCGGGCCCCCGAAATCGGCCGGGGCCTGAAAATTTTATAAGGGGGGACCCTTATGATTTTAATTTTCTCAAAAATTTTGCTGCCGGCGGCGCTATTTTTTCACGTTTTTACGGTTATTTGTAGAGCTATGCAACCTTTTTTTCAAAAATTTTTGCCTGCGGCGCTGTTTTTTCGGCAAAGTTTTGAGTTTTTTGGAAAATTTTTTTGGGACCCCCCCCCGAAATTTTTTTCTGGCTACGCCCCTGGATACATACCATTGGCAGGGGTTCAATCAGCGGGCCAAGCCACAGTATCAGCGTCAACAGTAGCAAACAGGAGAATAGAGCCGACAGCTGGAGAGAAACATAACCCTCCTTGGTTTACGACCCTGTGTTCTACCTGTGTTTTTGAGCCGCTGGTGACGTTGACCATGGTGCGACTGAGAGATGTCGTCACCGGGAATACAGGGAATAGGCCAGATATCAGTGACATCACCCCCAACGCCAGGAATTCCTGAAATACGCATAAAAATCCGTTTACTAGGCTGTCAATTGAAAGAAATCGGTGATCTTTTGCATTATCAGGGGGAAATCAACCTTTTGCATTGGCTCAAATTTTTCAAATATAAATGGTGGCAGTGGTCTGAATGGTTTTTTACTATTCCTAAACCTGAAAACTTTATAAATTTGCATTAGAAAAAAACCAAAGGTATCGATTTTTCGACCGAACTGTCGATTTTTGCCCAAAAAGTTGCCTTTTTTGTAAAGTTTTGAGATAGCTTTTCTAGTCGAAATATAGTTAAAGATTACTAAAAACGCTATTAAAATTAAATTCAATTAAAAATATAGATTTTTCGGGGAAAAAAGGGCGACGTTGGAACAAAATTTCGACTTTTTCAAGATTTTAAAAAGTTTTTAGAAAGATTTTTTAGTCGAAAATAGTTATCGATTACTAAAAACGCTATTAGAACACTTCCTATTAAGTTAGTAGGCATTTCTCGACTTTACAAAAAAGTCTGCTGTCTGACCTGCTGCCCATCCAGGCGATATTTGAATTTCCTGGCGACGACCTTCGACATTGACACATGTACCGACAGTGCAACAACGACCAATGGGATTGCATGGAGAAGGCAAATCGGCAGAATATGCCACGTCGGCCATGTGGGGGACGGTAGCCTGAAGATGGAGAAACAACCAAGTCAACGGCTCAATGTTGGGCCTACCCGGTTGGGATCGGGCCGACAACTTTCCATTTGAACTGGGCGTTTATCCCACCAAAGTGTTCGCCCACCAGGTACCCAACCATCTAAAAGACTTTTTAAAACAAACTGACAAGGTGACGTTTTTGAGTGTCGTCCGGACTTTGGGATGGACCCAAGCCTATCTTCTGCAGAATTTTGCGCTGATTCCGAATATGGTTACCGTTTCACGGAATAGCCAATTCCCGAAAGCTATGAGCGATTTAAGGCAGAAATAACCACAAATCAGCCACTTTTGACGGACATTAAAAGCTTCGGAACAGCTTTTAAAGCTAAAAAAACAGCTAGTGCATCTTGTCCAGAAAAAAATTATCTATAAAATAAGTTACTTCGCTCAAAACAAATTAAAATTTTGAAAAATGATATAATTAGTGGCATCAAAATGCATAAACTTGTTCAATTTTTCAAAATTTTGATTTAAATGGTACCAGGTTATAGAGAATTTTTTTCTGAACAAGTTGCACCAGCTGGTTTTTCTAAAACCTATTCCGAAGCCCTTTATGTCCATCGAAAGTAGCCGATTCATTGGGGGTTTTAGGTTTAAATCGTTCATAACTTTCGATAGTTGGCTATTCCGCAAAAAAGGTAACCATATTCGGAATCAGCGCAAAATTCTGCACAAAGAGGCTCGGTCCCATCCCAAAGTCCGGACGGCACTCAAAAACGTATCCCTGTCAGAACAGAGTTCGTCGCAAAAACGTATCCAAAACATGGCCTACCATCATGAATTCATATGGGATTGGCACATTGCAACGGAAGTATCTTTGTAATTCAGTTGTGATTAGGTCTTTGTAACCCCAGAGGTTGACGACGGCGAACCAAGAGCAAATCAGCGTGTCCAACGATATCGCCTTGTAGGATGATCCCAAATGCCACAGTACCTACAACACAATCAGTGGCGATTTAAGAATACTATTTTAATATAAAAAAATGGATCCGTCAACTTACTACAAACAGATAGCCGGGACCAGATGAACGTGGCGCCTCAACACCCAACATATACGGAAGCTGGGAGACGAGCACGTGAACCGCAGACCCTGAAAACGTAAGAAATTTCTTTCTTGGGATCTAATTTTTCAAATCAAAATAGTTGAAGTGTTTCTAAATGATTTTTGACTATTTTTAAACGTGAAAACTTTAAAAATTTGTATTAAAAATGTCGAATTTTAGACGGAAAATGGCCAATTTTTGACCAAAATAATTTTTTTAAGTTTTAGATAGTTTTTTTTAGTTAAAATATAGTATATATTCCTAAAAACTTTTAAAACACTTTCTATTAATACTAGGCATTTCTAGACGTATACAAAAAAGCTCACCCCCCGATAATGCGACAAAATTTGCTAAATGTTGAACCGGTTGAAAAAACTGCTAGAACTGCCTGACCGGTTGTGAAGGCAGACATCACAGCATCGGATACATAGGCGAACACACACTGCAGTTGCAACATCCAGAACAACAACTAAAACAAATTAATTCACTTGAATATTCAAGCATTACCAGCCAGAGACCGACTGCAAAAGTCAGGGTGGCCGAGATCTCGGTCTCCAAAATGAGCTGAAAAAAGAAGACGAATGTTCGGGGCACTTCCGTCGTCAAACCTCATTTCCAAGATGATCTCGAACTGCTTGATTGGCAGTGGCCGACATGAGGGCAAGCACCGCGAAGCTCCCTGAACATCTATATTTCCTGGTTTGTGGTTTTAAAATTCTACAGCCCAATCCGGACCACGATCTCTTACAGAAGCTACCAGACACCCAAAATTAGCGACAATAAGGCCCTAAGCAACGCGGCACTCCTATCGACTCAAAAATGTATGGGGGCCAAAACTTCTAACTGTAAAGTGTTTTTACTCAGGCTGGCGTTTTCGGGACCAAGACTATCTTGTTCAGAATTTTTTTGCTGATCCCGAGGAGCTATTTAAGTTGAGTGGCCCCAAAGGCGTCAAAAAAAAAAATTTGTCGATCGGGGGTCCCCGATCGGCCTAGAAATCAATATTCTGGGGTAGTTTTGTGCGCTGAGTACGAATTTAACACTTTTAGACTACAAAAATTTAACTTTAGACTACAAACTACAAAAAATCAAAAATCGTCAAAACGCGCGGAAAACACATTTCCGGGGCCGTTTTTTGCGCTGAATCCTATTCTTGTTAGGATTCGCGGCCAAATTGCATATTTTTTAAAGGCTACAATCATCTCATGGTCAATCACCAGATGAACTTCGTTGATCCGGTTACTGGCTCTCATACTCAATCTGTTGAAAGCCAATGGAACAAGTTCAAAAAGAGAATCAAGAAATCAAACGGCCTCAACACATCCACGAATGAGAGATACTGTGATTTTCTCAGTGACTTCATGTGGCGCCAAGAATTTGCCGATCGCAATCACATTTTCTACCACTTTTGGTCACACGTTGTCACAATGTACCCGTGTGAATAAGCCAGTCGCCCGGTCAAACTTCCCAAAACCTATACCAACGGCCCTCTTAAGGGTCACAAATTTAAAAAATATGCAAGTTGGTCGCGAATCCTAACAAGAAGAGGATTCAGCGCAAAAAACGGCCCCGGAAATGTGTTTTCCGCGCGTTTTGACGATTTTTGATTTTTGGTCGTTTGTAGTCTAAAGTTAAATTTTTGTAGTCTAAAAGTATTAAATTCGTACTCAGCGCACAAAACTACCCCAGAATATTGATTTCTAGGCCGATCGGGGACCCTCGATCGACAAAATTTTTTTTGACGCCCTTGGGGCCACTCGACTTAAATAGCTCCGATCCCGATTCCGTTTTCCAAATTTGCTGCGGACTTCGCGTTGAAAAGTCATTTGGGGTCTAAATTAAGCTTAAAAACGGCAGAAATTCGGATGCTGGCCCACTATTCCCTGCCTGGGTCTAGGTATTGTTGTGCCCCTTATCTACCCTTCCGAAGCCCCCTGCCCAGTTGGCACCATGGTGCATTGGTAAGCTGTTCGCTTGCCAAGCACAGGGCGGCGGTTCGAACCCCGCCCTGCACAATTTCTTTTGCTTTTTGCACAAAAACAAATGATTTGTTGCATAAAATCGCGCTTTGACCTCTAAAACTGTTATCGAGCCAGTTTTAACGTCGGAGGTGACGAAAACTTAAAAAATAACGCAAAAAATCCAGAGTCGGTCACAATTTAGTCAATTTTTTAGTATAAATGTCGAATAACTTTTTAAATAAAGGTCGGCAGCAAATTTGGAAATCAGATTCGGAATCAGCGAAAAATTCTGCACAAGATAGGCTTGGTCTCATCCTAAAAAGCCAGCCTGAGTAAAAACACTTTACAGTAAGCCTGATAACTTTGAAACTAAAGCGAACCTTAAAAAATGTTCCAATGTTGTAGAATCGACCACGGCAATTCTCATGATACCAAACCCTAAGAAAGCTGAATTCAGAAAGTATCAAAACGCAAGCGGTTTTTGTTAGCGGCTTAAAAAGTAGTATTTCGTAGGGCTAACTTGTTGTCTTTTGTATCATTCGAACCGTAAAATTCCACTCTACAAGAATTGATATTGAGTTTTCAATAATAAGCCCGTTTGAAAAAGTTATAAGAGCTTAAACTTTTTGGCGCCGCTACGCCCGGCTCCTATGAACACTTTCGTCCCTCCCGGAAAATTGTCGTTTTGGGCTGTTTGATTCGCCGTTTTCGATTTTCAACATTTTTTTGCGATTTTTAATAACAAAACAACATTTTCTTCATAAAGTACCCAGAGAAGCGTGCCGTGACGTTCCGAAGAAGATGTAGATGAAGGCCGGTAGACATGACGCATACAATCCATTGATGGCACCCACACCGGCCAGGTAGGCGTATGCGATTCCTAGGTGAAAGATGGCATGTTGATGCACCATCCTACCCTGCGGAACCTGCAGGATTCCCACGGTCAGGCCACCCATGACATCGCCAAACAAGTTTTCCTAAATCATCCGGTAAGACTCCAGATACCCCCCAGTTGCCCCCCCAACTTTTGTATCTCGGCTCGCTGTTCATCTACAGGCGTGTAAAGTATACGAAAATGTTCGTCTTGCTCTGGCGAGTGTTTTGGTATACTTTACACACCTGTAGATCAACAGCTGCCGAGATACGGTAGATAGGTGCCGGCTGGGGGGGGGGTAAAGTGCACTTAAGCCAAAAAAGGTACCCGGATACTGTAAGTGGGCAGCCAGCTAAGGATTGGCAATAGCCGGCAGAATCGAGCCCAGATGGCCGGACCCGAGACGCAGCCAATCAGAAACCCTTTCGCATGGTCGCTGAATCAAAAAAATAACGTTTTTTTACGCGGCCACTATCACCGCGCGGCGCGCCAGATCGAAGGCTTGATGTCGTCAGCCTCTAAGCAGAATTCCTTCTCGAATCGCTCCTAAAAGGGTGCAAAATAGCAATCAAAACGCCGGGTCGGCTTTCGCTTTTTCTCAAGAGCAACCTGATTCATCGGAACTCGACGAACGACGCTGGGTCCCGAGTTTTTGAGGGCGGCTAAAGACGATTATTTTTCACTCACTTCGCTATGGTATTCTCACCGTAATAAACCGAATCGCATCTGGTCTCCGTCAGTTCTTCGTCGCCAGATGAATCATCTGAAGTACTCATGGCAGTTGACTTGTAAAAGAGCTGGTCTAGAGCCCGAATGATTTTTTTTCACGATGACATTTTGTTCAGTGTATGCAGATCTATTCATGCAAAGATCAAGTTTTTTCCGATCCTTCCCGATTTCGAACATACAGGGTGACCAAAAAAACCCTCGGCATTTGGCCGTTTTCTGTCTGATCGTGACCAAATTTTTACCAGCGATGGGGACCCATAAAAACTATGTGCGGCTGCATTTTCTCAGCAATATATTGTAAAACAAAAAAGTTATATCGAAATGAAGATGTATTTTGCCGATTTCAGTAGGATTTCGGGGATTTTGCCCACGAGATGATTAGCAAAAATAGAGAGGGCACTTTTTCCACCGTGAGAAATTTTTTGATTTACGAAAATACATCTATAGTGGGACTTTTCATCGCTTTTTTTATCAAAACTGGCAGTAACCGACCCGAAAATGCACACTTTTCGGCAAATTACTCAAAACCGGCATGCTCATTGCGAAAACATAGCCAAAATGAGTGCCAGAATTTCCCAAAAATTAGTTTTTTTTAGCGAGAACTTTTTTGTTGTACAATATTTTGCTTAGAAAATTCGGCTGCGCATATTTTTTATGGGTCCTCAACCCTGATAAAAATCTGGTCCCGATTCGATAGAAGACGGCCAAATGCCGCAGGGGTGTTTTTTATGGGGACACCCTGTACCTGATCATCGCTTCCAGAATTTGAATAGCCCCCACCCGTCCCAACAGAAATTATTGCTGCACTAACAACCTAACAAAACCCGTTAATTTCCATTGATTCGGCGCCGTCGTCCCCGATACGATCCGAGAGTTCGATGCGACCACCAGACGCTTCGTTTCAAATTTGCCTAATCCCCTCCACCCCCAACCCAAACATTCACCAACGAGCGCTTTTTAAAGTGCATTATCTTCACCGATATTATCATTTCCTTGTTTACCAGGGGGCTGCTCCCGCTATGTGACCTGCTGTGGCAAAAGGCTTTGCTTGTTTCGGTTCCCTTTGGAAGAGGCGTCATTTCTCATAGACACCCGCACAAATTTGTTGATCTTCATCCAACGGCGGCGCACTTATGTATTTCGCACTGATCGATTCGCTTGCCACGATCTTTTGGTCGAACATTTTTCTAATATTCATCTCTCATCCGTGTTAATCAAGAAGTTATGGTTCTGGTCTGTTAGGGGGGATTTTTAGCGGGGCAAAGGAAAATTCCTGTGATTCTCTCCGCCCTACAACCAAATAGAAACAATTTTTATAGTATTTTACATAGTCTTTAGATATAAAAACAATAGAAAACTATATTAAAAATGTTGTCAATTTGACTTTGGCGTCAAAAATGTATGACAACGACCAAAAAAAGGTTAAAAATTTTCGAATTTTCAAAATGTTGTAAAATGGATTATTTTATAATCATGGATGACATAAATAGGTGGAAAAAGAGAAAGTGGTTTTCCCTCCTCCTGCTAAAAATCCCCCCCACCGCGCTAACGAACCAGAACCCATTTTTTTCTAATATTTCTCTCTCATACGTCATAATCAAAAAGTAATTATAGAATTTTGAGGTATGGATAGAGTAGGGGAGGCGTCAACATCGACGCCAATCGACATCCCAGCCATACAGGCCGGTATCGATCAGAAAAAGCCTGCCAAGCAAATTGTTCGCGAATCGGTCAGGTGCGTTGACCATTTATTTTCGTTTACACGTTATTTTTTTAGAAAGATCGGTGCCCACTATGCCTACCCCTTCCGCAGTGCTTCTAATTTCTGGCAAACGGTGCTCCAGTTTATTCCAATCCTTCAGTGGCTCCCAAAATATCGGGCTAAGGCAAGTAAAAATATGAACCCCACCTACCGTATCTCGGCTCTCTGTTCGTCTAAAGGTGTGTAAAGTATGCCAAAATACTCGCCAGAGCGAGGCGAACATTTTGGTATACTTTACACACCTGTAGACAAACAAGGGGCCGAGAAACAATAGTTTTAAATAAAATAACTACTCTAACCAGATTTTTATCTTTGTTTTAGAAAGACTTACTGCCGGACATGATTGGAGGGGTGACGACTGGTGTGATGCACGTACCTCAAGGTAATTTGTCAGCAACTCTAGCAAGAGATTTCACAAAAAATTATACCCAATTTCTAGGCATCGCTTACTCGGTATTGGCGGGTGTCCCTCCGGTCAACGGTCTCTACTCGTCGTGCTTCCCGGATTTCTTCTATATGGTTTTTGGGACATCCCGTCATGCATCAATAGGTACTAGTTACGTTATGCGTATGTGGCTATTTGGGTTTTAGGTAGTTTCGCCGTAGTCGCCTTGTTAGCTGGCGTGGCCAACACTAATGTGCAAGAAATATTGCGGATGCGCGAACAGGTCCGTTTTCAACTAACAACGGGACGTTTTTGAGTGTCTACGAAGTTTCTAAATGCATATTTTGTACACAATTTTTCTCTAATGAAAACCCCGTTTCTAGAATTTGCGAAACGACTGAAATAAGAAAGTTATGACGCTTTAAAGGGCGGAAGTTGGCCATTGTGGGGATTTTTCCGATTTAAAGATTCGTACTTTAGAAATATGGGCGTTTCGCCGATTCTGAAAAGTGCGTTTTGATCAGCGAAAAATTCTGCACAAAATAGGGTTGGTCCCGTTTCGAAACTCCGGCGACTTTAAATCTCAAAAATCAATCCAGTCCTTTCCAGAACGGCTCCTTCTCGGCAGACCCGTATAGTCCGGTTGAAATAGCAATGACCCTGACACTGTGTGTCGGCATTATCCAGGTTTTCCCTCGCCTAATTCATCAAAGTTCATTTTTCTAGCTTTTATGCGGCCTGCTTCACCTCCAGTTCTTAACTAATTATTTCTCGGATGCTTTGGTCTCAGGTTTTACGACGGGTTGGTGCCAGAATTTGCTGCTAATGAATTCGTAACAAACTCTAATTTCTAGGTGCCGCTGCCCATGTGCTAATCGAGCAATTCGACGATCTCCTCGGTGTCAAAATCCCCAAATATTCCGGACCGGGTTATATTTTCAAGGTGATCCCGGTTCTTTTGCATTTCCGGGGGGGTGCGTACCTTTTATGCAAGTCTAGAGATGCCTAGTAAATTATTAGCCAGTGTTGTAAGCTGTTTTGTAATAATATATAGCTATATTTAAGCTAGAAAAACTATCTAAAAACGTTAGAAAATGTTGAAAAAAAAGTCATCGGCCCCGTTTGGTCGAAAAATCGATATTTTTGATGTTTTTTTAATACAAATTTGTAAGGTTTTGACGTTTGCTATATTAAGCTATATTTAAGCTAGAAAAACTATCTAAAAACTTCAAAGAATGTTGAAAAAGTCGAAATTTTGCTCAAAACCCGCTCAAATCTATATTTTTATATTTTTTAAACAATTTTTTTTGAAGTTTTCACGTTTAGGAATAGTAAAAAATTATTTAGAAACACGGCCGCTATTTATATTTGAAAAATGAGATCTCAAGAAACAAAAAAAGGTGGTTTTCAGAAGCTGTTTGCGCTGATGGTGCGTATTCCCGAGGCGAAGCCGATAATCCTCATCGTTTCGGCATTATCGCTTGCGTTTCTTTACATCGGTAAAGAATACCTGACACCGTTTTTGAAGAAGCGTTTTGGGCTAAAATTGCCGATTCCTTGGGAACTGATTTTGGTGAGCAAGCGAGCATCTTTTAGAGCAAAGCGTCTTTAGATGGCCATTGGATCAGCCTCCTCATATTTGATGAGCATGAGCCAACGATATGGTGTACCGGTGGTTCAGCACATCCCGATCGGGTACGTTGCGGTTTTTCGGTTTCTCTTTCGGTTCTGGACTGTTAGCGGGGGGGGGGACCAAATTTAATTTGATCCCTATGATTCTCTACGGCCCTATAACAAAATAGAAACCATTTTTATAGCATTTTACATGGTTTTTAGATGCAAAAACATTTAAAAAAATAATTAAAAAATTTTGACTTTGTAGTAAAAATTGTACGAGAAATGCCCAAAAAAGACCAACATTTTTCTTTTCATAAAAATTTTAAAATTATTTTTATAACTTCATAGCAATCAAAAACTACTAAAAACACTATAAAAATAGATATTTTATCATCAACAAATCGAAAAACAAAAATTGGTTTTCCCCTGCTAAATCGCCCCCCCCCCCCCGCTAACAGTCCAGAACCACGTTTTCTTCATGATGACTATCACACTGAAATCACAGTTTAAAACTTGTGCTTAGAGTACCAGAGCCGTCACTGCCGATTCTCGACCTAATCCCCGCATGTCTCGTTGCTGCTCTCCCGATTGCTGTCGTCGCCACCGCTGTCCACATCTCAATGGCAAAAATGCTAGCCAAACAGTATAACTACAAAATTGACGATCAACAGGTAGGAAAAAGTTTACGAAAAATTCCGATAGTTGACGTTGTCTAGCCCTGTCTTATAGACGACGTTAGCGGGGGAACCGAATTTTTCTCGGTGATTCTTTACGGCTCTTTAATAACAAAATATAAACCATTTTATAGCATTTTACAAAGTTTTTAGAGATAAAAACATTTTTGAAAACTGAAAATTCAAAATTTTGACCTTTTTTGTTCATTTTCCATTGATTTTTCACCAAAAAGTCAAAAATTTGGAAGATTTTTATTATTTTTTATATTTTTAATAACTTTCTAGCGATCAAATGCTTCTAAAACGACTATAAAAATACGTTTTATATCATGAATAGGTATAGGTGGAAAAACAGGAAGTGGTTTTACCCTAAATCCCCCCCGCTAACAGTCCAGAACCGATTTTTTATAACTATACTAACGATTTTTCTATAAATTTTTCACACACTTGACATTTACGTTCTAGGAGTTGTATGCCTTGGGCTTCACATCTATTCTTGGAGGGCTTTTCCCGGTTTATCCTGTATCAACAGCCCTCGGTCGGACCATGGTCAATGTTTCCAGCGGTTCCAGAACCCAGGTGTCTTTTTTGGCACAAGCTTTTTGTCATTACTAGATTTTAAACCTATTTAAACTTATTCCAAACTAATTTTTCAGCTCTCGACAGTTTTCTCTTGCGTCCTCCTATTGACGTTAATATTGTGGCTTGGCGTTCTCATCGAGCCGCTACCAATGGTAATTTACCTGAACATGTGTCGAACTCAGGTCCTCGGGTCCACCCGAAATCCGGCCGGCATCTGCTCGCGAAATCGATCGGAATTCCAGTAGCGGACGCGACCGGATTCCACGTGGAAATCGACCGGATTGCGGGTGGATGCACGGTAAATCGGTTGGAAATCGATCGGATCCGCCCGGTTTCCACTCGATTTCCACGAGCCGCGTCGCGTGCGGCATGCGTTGCGTCGTGTTTCCACTCGATTTCCTGTGCGTCCACCCGAAATCCAGCCGATTTCCATGCGTTCCACCCCAAATCCAGGTGGAATACAACCGGATTTTGGGTGGATCCGAGGACCTGAGAATAAAAAAATCGTTTTTAGTGCATCTTGGCGGCGATTATTACGGTGGCCCTGAAAGGAATGTTCCAAAAATGGGACGAGCTGAATGCTTTCTGGACGGTCAGCAAAATTGATGCGGTAGGAGGAGTGTAACGGAAATGAGATGTATAACGCCCTGTTTAGTTCGTCTGGGTGTTTTCCTTCGTTTGCACGCTTTGCGTGGATGTCGTCTGGGGCTTGGCGGCTTCGATCGCCTTCTCACTGGCCATTTTGGTGGCCCGTCTACAATGGTTTGAATTATATACAAATATACGAATTTTAGTATCAACACTATACAAATTTTGATTAAAAAAAAATTTAATTTTAGGTCGAAAATTAATTTTTTCACATTTTTTGAAAGTTTTTCTACTTAAATATAGAGATGTTAAGAATCAATTAACAATCAAGATTATTTGCATACAATGGCACAATATTATTTGATTTGGATCGGGCTGAGCGCATGACCAAGTAAAATAATATTATTTGACTCCGCTCGAGAAAGAACCAAGTAAAATTACTTGATTTACTTGATTTACTTGATCAAACAATAGCTTTCTGGAATTCTGGCATTTTTCGGATTGTAATGAACCTTATGACATGATCGAATGCTAATTTACTGGGTTCGCGGCACGATTGCCTGATTTGCATTGCGAATCTGCACAAAATCAAGTAATTTCGCTGAAAATCAAGTAATTCTCCCAAATCAATCAAGATCAAGTAAATCAAGTAATTTTATTTTACTTGATGCTTATTCAAGCAAACGGCGCAAAATAATTTTATATTTACTTGAAGATTTCGGATGCAAATAAAGTTGTTCATGCAAATTTACTTGGTCATTATATTAATTGATTCGTAACATCTCTACTTAAATATAGTTAAAACTTACTAAAAACACTTTATATTTGACTACTAGGCCAACCGGAGCGCCAGGAAAAAAATTGTTCCCCCGGCGAATCCTACAAAACCGATTAAATTTTTTTTAGGCCGCGATGGCAGCACTTCTTCCAGCCAAGCCTTGGAAAACCCGCAACATTTGATGGGCCTCTATCCATCTGCGTGCACAAATTCAACGCCCCATTGGTTTTTGCCAATGTGGAACGGCAAGTTCAAAACAAATGAAAAAACGAAAGAATTGAGATTTCAAAAGTCGATCGCAAAAATTACGGCCAAGTGGACCCCGGAAATTCGGCCACCAGTCATGGTGATCGAAGCAAAGGATGTCGAGAAGCCTGATCTCGATCTTTCAACCGTGCGTCGGTGGGTATTACCTCGAATCCAAAAAAGATAATTAAACGGGCATCCCGCCGTAGCGCGCTATCGATGGTCTTCTATCAAGCATTTTCAGGATCCTCGTTTTGGACTTCTCTGCTGTAAATTACATCGACTACATGGGAGCCAAAACATTGAAAGAGGTAATAACTTGCTAAAGCACTTGCGGGGATCCGGATTTTGCCGACAAGACGCCGCAAACGCCATTTTTTAAACTTAAGCCTCTGGAAACGTTAAGCTAACAAGCCTAGACTTAGCTTGAAACAAACAAAGCCTTAGCTTTGCTTGAGCCATGTTAAGCTTAGCTCTGAGCTAAGCCCGAAACGACTTCATTTTGACCCTGAAAAGATATTTAAAACTCGAAATAAGCTTAGTTTGAGGCTTAAGCCCGCCTAAGCAAGGCGCTCGCTAAAAACCAAGTAGGGTAAGCGGAGCGCCTCGTAAGCTCTTACTACCGATTTCGGACTCCCCCCCCCCTAACTGCATTAGCACCTAACGAGCCATAAACCCCAATCTCCTCAGGTGATTGCCGAGGCGAGAAGGTGCAATATCGTCATCTACATATCCGGCGCAAACGGTAGGATTAATTTGGGCAGAGCGTCTAGCTATGATTTAGGATCTATCCTGGATTGCATGGAAAAGGCAAAGATTACGCCAGACGAGATACCCGCCATCCACATCTTCCATCAAATAAATCAAGCCTTCACATACGCAAAGAGCACCAGGTTGGGGATCAATCGTACCGAAGCTAATCCAATCCGATTTCAGTAAGCCGCATTAGCCGCAACCTGGATAAGAAACCTCCTAATATCAAAGCTTTATTTCGGCTCTTGCCACCAATAATAAATATCACAAGAAAAAGCGACTGACAAAGCACAACAAGTAACACAAAAAAGCTACCATTCTAATGGAAGTCCTACAACAAGCAAAAACTTATAAATTACGTCCGGATTTGAAGAGCAGTGGAGCGACGAGGTATGAAGAGTCGGATAGGCGGCGCGCTAAAATAAAGGGTTTATCAAAATGTGTGGTCCTACTGCGCTGAGACCATTCGGTTAAAGCATCGATCATTTGAGCGTTCGACATTCCGCTAAAGTCGATCCTCCGGATGTAGCAATGCTGGAATTGATTTGTTTAGCTCACAAGGAGACGTTTCTGAGTGTCGTCCGGAATTTGGGATGGGACCAAGCCTATCTTGTGCCGAATTTTGCGCTGATTCCGAATATGGTTATCGTTTTTGCGGAATAGCCAATTCTCGAAAGTTATAAACTAGTTCAACCTAAAAACCCGTCCAAATGGCTACTTTTGATGGACCAAAAAAGCTTCGGAATAGGCGTTAGAAAAAATAATTAGTGCACCTTATTCAGAAAAAAAAATTCTCAATAAAGCTACCACATGCAAAAATCTGGAAATTTTGAAACATTTGATAAAATCCCATGTATAAATTTCTCGATTTTTCAAAAAATCCGATGTATTTTTTAGCTTTTAATCGCTTATAACCTTTGAGAAACGGCTATTCCGCAAAAACGGTAACAAATTGCGGAATCAGTGCAAAATTCTGCGCAAGATATTCCTCCCATCCCGAAGCCCGGACGACACCCAAAAACGACGCCTTTTTAGCTCAGAACCAGGGTTGAAAAACCGCTTCGCGGCTTTTCAACCCTGGCCCCGTCCAGGATCAGTGAAAGTCCTAAATTTGCATGCTTCTTCCCAAATTCTAGCAAGAAAAATGAAAAAAAAAGACTCCTCCGTCCCTTTATATAGGCTATCCCCCTTCCGGCGTATGCTAATTTCTTCCTAACAAAGAGGGAAGCCAAGATTTTTACAAAAACCTAATTTTAATAGCGAAAATAATAAACTTTCAAAGTTTTTAAGTGTGTGCAGTCGATTCCAGCCCCTTCTTTACCCTATGACGTTTCTTCCCTACCGAAAAAATGCTTCCCTGAGGCTGTAGGTGCGGAACATCCAAACGGAAGTGCATGCAAATATACACACACACACACAGACACTATTTTTTTTTATATATAGTAGGATACCCCGGCGATACCAGACCACGAATGAGATCCGGAAAAAAACTTACAAAAACAATTTGCCGATTAGTCAGGGATGAGAAGTTGAGCACATGATCGAGACGTCGCAATGCCTCTGCACGCGTTTCCAGTCGTCGCTTCAGGCCGGGCAGCGGCAATGGGATCAAGCCATGCAGCCGAGCGAGATCGGCCTAACGCTTACGATCAGTAATAGTGCAAAAATAATACCATTTTAGAGTTGTCAAGTTCTTTCAGCGCAGGCAGAGCCACATTTTCAATCTTGACCTAGAAAGAAGTAATGATAATTCCAAACACACAAAACCGTTTTCAGATCAGCCAAGATCTGCTGAGCGGCCTTCTGCGACTTCTGCACTTCACTGGCGAAGAATTCAGCACGTTGCGCATCGGTCCAGAAGTGCCGTGTCAAGATGAGGCGCGGGAAGAATATCCTAAAAGAATATTTGAAGGGCTAGTGGGATTTCGCACTGACACGGCAGCCCCCACGATGTAGACAGTCATGGGCAAGGGGAGTAACGCCGCAACCACCGCCAGTTTTGGGCCTTCGCTCGTGAACTGAACCAAGCCAGAGTTAGCAAAATTTCAGTTAAAATAAATGGTTCTGGACCGTTAGCGGGGGGGAACTCAATTTTTCCCCGATGATTTTCTACGGACCTATAACAAAATATAACCATTTTTTAGCATTTTACATAGTTTTTACGTATAAAAATAATATAAAACGTAGACTTTTTGGTCAAAAATGTAAGAAATTGTTACAAAAAAAGCCGAAATTTTCGAAATTTCAAAATTTTTAACTTTCTAGCAATGACAAACTACTAAAAACACTATAAAAATGCATAATATATCATAAAAAAAATTCCACCCCCCCCCCGTTAACATTCCAGAACCAAACACATCAATAAAAGATTTGGACACAATCTACATTGGTCTACTGCGTAGATATCTTGCCACCCTAATCCCGGTCAACGGCTGATTTGGCTCGACGTGGTATCTGACCTAACAAAACTACGTAATTTTCGCCTAACTAGTAAGATTGCGCGCGGGATATACAACCGTTTTTCAGTGGCGACAAGGTTTCCTTAAAGTACTCACGCTAAGCAGATCAAGATTTCGCCAAGAAAGGGTGGATCCAGGCATGCTACCAGAATCAGCAGATGACGAATTTCTTTTCCGGCCTAGAATCAGATTATTCGCAGCTGGGCCCCAGAATTAAATTTACAAACATTCTTTTTCAATGCTATCGGGGGTTTTGATTGCCGTGTCAGTGCCCATGGAATAGACAGGAAGAGAGACCACTTACAGCAAGAGAATCAGCACGTCACCGGGACCGGGAATTTGCAAAATTGTTACGAGAAAACTCATTTTCATCAGCTCGCGCCCGCTCTGCAACAAAATATCAAGGGCGGGAGACTCGTTTCAACGAGTCGCTTCGTGTAAAATTTGCTGTGCATACAAAATTTCTAAGCACGAGGCAAAAGATAGCGCCGATTGTTTTACCAAGAACAATCGATGGAAAGCTAGTAAAATACCTGCACAAGCACTTCCAATTCCTCTACGGAGAGTTGCTCGAGCTTCCGACGACTCGCTGAGAGATCGCGACGCACGCGAATATATGTCTTCACGTCCGAGAAGCACCATTTTGAACCTGGAAAAAAATTTTCGGTAAAAAGTCCCTCTTACCGTCCACAACCATCCTATGTATGGCCAAAAATTTGGGCCAGCGTCCGATGAAGCCTTCATACTTGTACATCAGTGAGCCCTCCTAAAAATGTGGGTTCTTTAGGATAGGAGTAATCAAATATAACGTGTTTTTACATGTTTTTGGTAATTTTAACTATATTTAAAGTAGGAGAACTTACAAAAAAGTTAGAAAGTGTTTGAAAAAGCCGAAAATTTGGAAATTTTGGCTCGAAAAAACCCAATTTTTCGACCTAAAATAAACTTTTTAATTAAAATTTGTAAAGTTTTCATGAACAGGAATAGTGAAAAACAAAGTAGAAACACATCCGCTATTTATAAAAAACCAGCGCGGGCCCCCCCCGCTACGCGGGGGTTCAGCGCTGGCCCTTTCCCCCCTCAATTTGACTTTGGAATTTGAATGCAAAATTTGGCTGAATTCCCGGTCGTGCGACAGTAGAAATTTAGATTTATAAAAAATTTCCTCTTGCGCCGAAAAAAATTTTATCAACTATAATAATTTTCTTGACGCGTCCGTCTGTCCGTCTGTGTGAAGCCGGATTCAACTCGAAGGGGAAAGGAGCTAGAGCTTAGCTCTCTTCGGATTCGGATAGAGCGCCGTCAGAAACCCCCAAACTGATAAAAAAATTATGAAAAAGTTTTAGTTTAAATTATTAAAATAAACTTTGAAAGTTTTTTCCTTAGTAAAAGGGGTGGGGGACGGAGGTTGGGGTGATTTTGGACATAGTGAGCCAGGTGGCGCGCGTTTCGTGGATGAAAATTTTCACGAGGGATTTCATTTATTATTTCTCTCATTTCATCCGGTCGGTCGTTATTTTCGTTTTTAAGGGGATTTCGGCTAGGGGAGGTATCTAAAGCCATCAGGAAGGTATGTAGGTAGTTTTTGAAGGGGATTTCAGCCATGGGGGGTATCTTAAGCCATCGGGAAGGTATTTAGGTAGTTTTTGAAGGGGATTTCGGCTAGGAGGGGGTCTAAAGCCGTCAGGAAGGTATTTAGGTAGTTTTTGAAGGGGATTTCGGCTAGGGGAGGTATCTTAAGCCATCGGGAAGGTATTTAGGTAGTTTTTGAAGGGGATTTCGGCTAGGGGAGGTATCTAAAGCCATCAGGAAGGTATGTAGGTAGTTTTTGAAGGGGATTTCAGCCATGGGGGGTATCTTAAGCCATCGGGAAGGTATTTAGGTAGTTTTTGAAGGGGCATTCGCCTAGGGGAGGTGTCTAAAGCCATCAGGAAGGTATTTAGGTAGTTTTTGAAGGGGATTTCGGCTAGGGAGGTATCTTAAGCCATCGGGAAGGTATTTAGGTAGTTTTTGAAGGGGATTTCAGCCATGGGGGTATCTTAAGCCATCGGGAAGGTATTTAGGTAGTTTTTGAAGGGGGATTTCAGCCATGGGGGTATCTTAAGCCATCGGGAAGGTATTTAGGTAGTTTTTGAAGGGGATTTCAGCCATGGGGGTATCTTAAGCCATCGGGAAGGTATTTAGGTAGTTTTTGAAGGGATTTCAGCCATGGGGGGTATCTTAAGCCATCGGGAAGGTATTTAGGTAGTTTTTGAAGGGGATTTCAGCCATGGGGGTATCTTAAGCCATCGGGAAGGTATTTAGGTAGTTTTTGAAGGGGATTTCAGCCATGGGGGTATCTTAAGCCATCGGGAAGGTATTTAGGTAGTTTTTGAAGGGGATTTCAGCCATGGGGGGTATCTTAAGCCATCGGGAAGGTATGTAGGTAGATTTTGAAGGGGATTTCAGCCATGGGGGTATCTTAAGCCATCGGGAAGGTATTTAGGTAGTTTTTGAAGGGGATTTCAGCCATGGGGGTATCTTAAGCCATCGGGAAGGTATTTAGGTAGTTTTTGAAGGGGATTTCAGCCATGGGGGGTATCTTAAGCCATCGGGAAGGTATTTAGGTAGTTTTTGAAGGGGATTTCAGCCATGGGGGTATCTTAAGCCATCGGGAAGGTATTTAGGTAGTTTTTGAAGGGGATTTCAGCCATGGGGGGTATCTTAAGCCATCGGGAAGGTATTTAGGTAGTTTTTGAAGGGGATTTCAGCCATGGGGGGTATCTTAAGCCATCGGGAAGGTATGTAGGTAGATTTTGAAGGGGATTTCAGCCATGGGGGTATCTTAAGCCATCGGGAAGGTATTTAGGTAGTTTTTGAAGGGGATTTCAGCCATGGGGGGTATCTTAAGCCATCGGGAAGGTATGTAGGTAGTTTTTGAAGGGGATTTCAGCCATGGGGGGTATCTTAAGCCATCGGGAAGGTATGTAGGTAGTTTTTGAAGGGATTTCAGCCATGGGGGTATCTTAAGCCATCGGGAAGGTATGTAGGTAGTTTTGAAGGGATTTCAGCCATGGGGGGTATCTTAAGCCATCGGGAAGGTATGTAGGTAGTTTTTGAAGGGGATTTCAGCCATGGGGGGTATCTTAAGCCATCGGGAAGGTATGTAGGTAGTTTTTGAAGGGGATTTCAGCCATGGGGGGTATCTTAAGCCATCGGGAAGGTATGTAGGTAGTTTTTGAAGGGGATTTCAGCCATGGGGGTATCTTAAGCCATCGGGAAGGTATTTAGGTAGTTTTTTGAAGGGATTTCAGCCATGGGGGTATCTTAAGCCATCGGGAAGGTATTTAGGTAGTTTTTGAAGGGGCATTCGCCTAGGGGAGGTGTCTAAAGCCATCAGGAAGGTATTTAGGTAGTTTTTGAAGGGGATTTCGGCTAGGGGAGGTATCTTAAGCCATCGGGAAGGTATTTAGGTAGTTTTTGAAGGGGATTTCAGCCATGGGGGGTATCTTAAGCCATCGGGAAGGTATTTAGGTAGTTTTTGAAGGGGATTTCAGCCATGGGGGTATCTTAAGCCATCGGGAAGGTATGTAGGTAGTTTTTGAAGGGGATTTCAGCCATGGGGGTATCTTAAGCCATCGGGAAGGTATGTAGGTAGTTTTTGAAGGGGATTTCAGCCATGGGGGGTATCTTAAGCCATCGGGAAGGTATTTAGGTAGTTTTTGAAGGGGATTTCAGCCATGGGGGGTATCTTAAGCCATCGGGAAGGTATGTAGGTAGTTTTTGAAGGGGATTTCAGCCATGGGGGGTATCTTAAGCCATCGGGAAGGTATGTAGGTAGTTTTTGAAGGGGATTTCAGCCATGGGGGGTATCTTAAGCCATCGGGAAGGTATTTAGGTAGTTTTTGAAGGGGCATTCGCCTAGGGGAGGTGTCTAAAGCCATCAGGAAGGTATTTAGGTAGTTTTTGAAGGGATTTCGGCTAGGGAGGTATCTTAAGCCATCGGGAAGGTATTTAGGTAGTTTTTGAAGGGATTTCAGCCATGGGGGTATCTTAAGCCATCGGGAAGGTATTTAGGTAGTTTTTGAAGGGATTTCAGCCATGGGGGTATCTTAAGCCATCGGGAAGGTATGTAGGTAGTTTTTGAAGGGGATTTCAGCCATGGGGGTATCTTAAGCCATCGGGAAGGTATTTAGGTAGTTTTTGAAGGGGATTTCAGCCATGGGGGTATCTTAAGCCATCGGGAAGGTATGTAGGTAGTTTTTGAAGGGATTTCAGCCATGGGGGTATCTTAAGCCATCGGGAAGGTATGTAGGTAGTTTTTGAAGGGGATTTCAGCCATGGGGGTATCTTAAGCCATCGGGAAGGTATGTAGGTAGTTTTTTGAAGGGGATTTCAGCCATGGGGGGTATCTTAAGCCATCGGGAAGGTATGTAGGTAGTTTTTGAAGGGGATTTCAGCCATGGGGGTATCTTAAGCCATCGGGAAGGTATGTAGGTAGTTTTTGAAGGGATTTCAGCCATGGGGGGTATCTTAAGCCATCGGGAAGGTATTTAGGTAGTTTTTTGAAGGGGATTTCAGCCATGGGGGGTATCTTAAGCCATCGGGAAGGTATTTAGGTAGTTTTTGAAGGGGAATTCGCCTAGGGGAGGTGTCTAAAGCCATCAGGAAGGGTATTTAGGTAGTTTTTGAAGGGGATTTCGGCTAGGGGGGGTATCTTAAGCCATCGGGAAGGTATTTAGGTAGTTTTTGAAGGATTTCAGCCATGGGGGTATCTTAAGCCATCGGGAAGGTATTTAGGTAGTTTTTGAAGGGATTTCAGCCATGGGGGGTATCTTAAGCCATCGGGAAGGTATGTAGGTAGTTTTTGAAGGGGATTTCAGCCATGGGGGTATCTTAAGCCATCGGGAAGGTATTTAGGTAGTTTTTGAAGGGGATTTCAGCCATGGGGGGGTATCTTAAGCCATCGGGAAGGTATGTAGGTAGTTTTGAAGGGGATTTCAGCCATGGGGGTATCTTAAGCCATCGGGAAGGTATGTAGGTAGTTTTTTGAAGGGATTTCAGCCATGGGGGTATCTTAAGCCATCGGGAAGGTATGTAGGTAGTTTTTGAAGGGGATTTCAGCCATGGGGGTATCTTAAGCCATCGGGAAGGTATTTAGGTAGTTTTGAAGGGATTTCAGCCATGGGGGTATCTTAAGCCATCGGGAAGGTATTTAGGTAGTTTTTGAAGGGGATTTCAGCCATGGGGGTATCTTAAGCCATCGGGAAGGTATTTAGGTAGTTTTTGAAGGGGATTTCAGCCATGGGGGGTATCTTAAGCCATCGGGAAGGTATGTAGGTAGTTTTTGAAGGGATTTCAGCCATGGGGGTATCTTAAGCCATCGGGAAGGTATGTAGGTAGTTTTTGAAGGGGATTTCAGCCATGGGGGTATCTTAAGCCATCGGGAAGGTATGTAGGTAGTTTTTGAAGGGGATTTCAGCCATGGGGGGTATCTTAAGCCATCGGGAAGGTATTTAGGTAGTTTTTGAAGGGATTTCAGCCATGGGGGTATCTTAAGCCATCGGGAAGGTGTTTAGGTAGTTTTTGAAGGGGCATTCGCCTAGGGGAGGTGTCTAAAGCCATCAGGAAGGTATTTAGGTAGTTTTTGAAGGGATTTCAGCCATGGGGGGTATCTTAAGCCATCGGGAAGGTATTTAGGTAGTTTTGAAGGGGATTTCCGCCATGGGGGTATCTTAAGCCATCGGGAAGGTATTTAGGTAGTTTTTTAAGGGGATTTCAGCCATGGGGGTATCTTAAGCCATCGGGAAGGTATGTAGGTAGTTTTTGAAGGATTTCAGCCATGGGGGTATCTTAAGCCATCGGGAAGGTATTTAGGTAGTTTTTGAAGGGATTTCAGCCATGGGGGTATCTTAAGCCATCGGGAAAGGTATTTAGGTAGTTTTTGAAGGGGATTTCAGCCATGGGGGGTATCTTAAGCCATCGGGAAGGTATTTAGGTAGTTTTTGAAGGGGATTTCGGCTAGGAGGGGGTCTAAAGCCGTCAGGAAGGTATCGAAGTAGTTAGTGGAAGCAGGTAGATAGGTAGGTGTATTACATGGAGGGTAACCCGAAGGCCAGATGGTTACAGTCGCGAAGCGACTGGAACCATCTGGTAGAATATAAATTTCTAATGTCCGTGCGCCCGACGTCCGACCGCGACCGGGAATTCAGCCAAATTTTGCATTCAAATTCAAAATTCTAATTGTGGGGGGAGGCCAGCGCTGAAACCCCGCGTAGCGGGGTGTCAGCGCTGGTTTTATAGAAAAACTCACCTTTGGTGGGCTTGGTGCAGGACCTTTAGAAGTTTGACGAGCTGGGTTGAAAGATCCGCTTGTGGCCGTCAGAAGGCTGCGGGAGACCAATTGATTCGAACACATTTGCTTCATGTGTTGGCACGACCCAATATATGGCGCGGCTACTCTAAAAACATGAAATTCACAACGGAAGCGTTGGCCCAACCGATAAAAATGCATCCTCCGGACTAGCCTTCAGCGAACCTGCCGCGTTTCGTGGATGCTGAAAGAAATGTTATTGTCGGTATCAGGCGCAAACGTCGAAGGTCGAAAGCTACAAAAAAAACTGAGCTGGTTCTCAACACAAGGCTACGAAAATGAGCTACGAAGACCCCCATGCGGTTTGGATATACAGGTGTCCCAAAAAATCGGCCGCCTCTAGCTGGCCATAGAAAGTTCGGATCGGGATGATTTTTGTACCATTCGAAAGCTCTCGAAAAAGCGAGAAAACAAGTAGTTTTACAAAGTTTTTTAGCCCGCACTTGGTATTAAACGATTTCTTAAAATCGCGTCAAATCAGCGTCGTGCTGTTAGCTTGAGCTGCGGATTAAATTAAAATGTCTATGCTGAAAAACAACAACTGCT